ACAAGTGACACGGGGGCCTAATATCTCGAATACAAGCCATGCCCTATTTTTCACAAACGATTTCTTGTTAAAATGCTGCGGCATATAATGCGTAAACATGATATGTAAAGGCCCTTTTTACTTGTTGTCTGTATCGACATTCTGGCATATTAGTCTGACCTAATCGCTTGCAGTCCTCCAAGGCAGCAGCCATCTCACTATCTTCATGCTCAACGTACCCAGAAGTGTTGATCTTCTTTCTTTGCTCCGCAACCTGTTTCTACATGGTTGTCCTCATTCAATACCCATTTCCAACACATAGTTTACTGTCTCTGTTCCTTCATTGGTGCATCAGTGATGTGATGCTAGACTCGTACTTGAACTGACCAGCCTGTACTAGATTGGTGATGTAGTCAACATCATACCAGCTACTTTTACGATTGGTGATGTGGTCAACATCATACCAGCTGCTTTTACGATTGGTGATGTGGTCAACATCATACCAGCTGCTTTTACAATTGGTGATGTGGTCAACATCGTACCAGCTGCTCTTACTTTCCAGGACATTATCTGGAACTCATTTTAAGCTTGGTCGATCTTGGAGTCAAGGTCAATTTTGAAAACCCACAAAACCTCATCTATGCAGGTTTCAAGCCTAGACCTTGGAGTCAAGGTCAATTTTGAAAACCCACAAAACCTCATCTATGCAGGTTTCAAGCCCAGACCTTGGAGTCAAGGTCAATTTTGAAAACCCACAAAACCTCATCTATGCAGGTTTCAAGCCTAGACCTTGGAGTCAAGGTCAATTTTGAAAACCCACAAAACCTCATCTACGCAGGTTTCAAGCCCAGACCTTGGAGTCAAGGTCAATTTTGAAAACCCACAAAACCTCATCTATGCAGGTTTCAAGCCTAGACCTTGGAGTCAAGGTCAATTTTGAAAACCCACAAAACCTCATATATGCAGGTTTCAAGCCTAGACCTTCTGGCTGACATGATGCCAGTGATCAATGGTAATTTAAACTGATGATAAATCTCACTCTCCATTTCTCTCTGTTTGCATCTTTGAGGGGTCCAAAGATTTACAATAAGCATCTGTTTAAAAAATTTTGTGATAAGACTTCATCTCTTTTAGTTATGCTCCACATTTCAGAGCCATTCAAAACAACTGATGACGTTATGATCACATCACAATTTCAAAACATCAATTTTTTTAAAAACCCAAATATCTCAAAACTTGTTGTTGAAAATATAGCCAAAGCCACCATGACTACACACTATGCAGCTGCAACCCTTATGGAAGCTGTTATATTAGGGGTGATGGCCACTGCTCAAAGACACCAAGTCATGAAGAAATGGTAAATGCTAAAAAATAAATCAGCTTTTCACGGAGACATGATTAATGGGGCTAAACCATGTAAGGTAAATTATTATGAAACAATTGCTTAAAAAAAAAGTTTAGACACACACAAAATTATTGACAAGGTAAGACATCAGTTAACAGCCAAAATTACAGACAGCATTCTCCATCTTGGAGATGTTTAAAAATTATAATAAATTTGAGCTAAATACAAAACAAACTTCACAATACTGCTTGAGCTCAGTAGTGCATCATAGGGTTTCATAAATCATTCAGAAAAAAAAAAAAAAAGAACAAAACTAGCAGTTTCATTGCACATAAAAAAAATAAATTGTTAAAACAAAAACAAGTAAACATCATGAATAATCAAAGAATGACGTGAATACAAATTTCACATGCCGGAAAGGAAAAGTGTGATCTCATCTGTAAGACTGCATGCTACAGTTATTTTGTTAAATGTTGGAACAGAACAGAATTGCAAACTCTGTCTGATAATTTCTAAAGTCTTTTTTGGAAACTGATCTCCATTTTTTTTACTTTAGTGACACACAAGAAAATGTTATATTATGGGTCTGCCTACACACAAACACAAAATAAATCTCCATAATTTCAAATAATCAAAGAACAAAGCAGCACCTTCTGTCTTCTTTAAGAAGATTCACAAAAGTGAGTCACTGGCTGTTATATGTTGTTTCAGAAAGAGTCACATACTGTATGGTACCAAACAATCCATCCCATTTTTGACATACATACAACAATACATAACAACCTGTCATATTTCACATACACACAGAATGGAATATTTGAGATGCACTTGAATAAACATAAAGTTTATAAATCATGTAATATCAACATTTTCTACAGTGTGGCAATCAGATGGTGCTTATTTCTGAATGAATTAATTTCTTTGGCAGTTTATGGTATCCCCCACATTTCTGTACATTCAAACTGATAACGAATACAGAAGGACAACAGTAAAAAGAACATACAAGCTTTCTATCTGGACTAAAAAAACCATCAATCAGTAAGTCCATTATAGTTCTCGGTTTCAGACACTGTCATAACCAAAAGTAATTTTATTTTCTTCTTTTGTTTGACATTTTTTCTTTTGATAAATGATTTGATGAGCGACTGGCCGAATAATAAGAATGCTGGGGTCTCAAGAATCAAAAGACATTAGGTAAGGGATTTTTTTTCTGTGGAAGGGGACTGTGGCAACAGCACTATCCATGTGGCCTTAAATTCTCAGACTCAACCCCCCCCCCCCCCATATTTGTAAATAAAAGCAGTAATGTAGTAGCAGATGCAAAATTAAAACCCACAATGTCCAAGTTATTTTTAAAGAAGTTAAAATTTCTTCTTTCTGTTCATTCACTGTCACAACTTTATCTCTTTCTGATCTACTGCCATCTGAACATCTCATACAAAAGATAAAACCACACAAAGCCATAAAACAAAAGAACTGCAGCTGCGCCAAAACACATACAACACACAAAACATGCCTGCCATACAACTGGAAGCAAAGTTGCACACAACTACACTATAGTGTAGTCTTCTGTGTAGCCTTTGTCCTTCCTTCCGTCCTTGGTGTTGCGAGCTTCCATCTCAGCTTCCTCCTCAGGCACAGGACGGTAGTGTCTGTTGAGTGATTGCAGATAATTACAGTTTGACCAATGTTTCTAACATAAGCAGATGTAGAGCTGCCATTGACTTCTTCTTAGTGTTCAATGGCTGTAAAATCCAGAGGAAAGTTCTGGTTGTTTGTCCACTTTGTGACTTTAGTCTTGTTGCACAACTTGACTTTGCCCTGCACATCAAGTTTACATATCTGGCATATTTATATGCAGACTGTTGGTTCTTGCCGCTCAGGCAGATGCACTTCAGAGGAAACACCTTTAATTAGTCGAATTTTATGACATGCTTATTAGGGGACAGTGGGTCTATTCTTTTTTCCTCCCACAATGGGGTTGCAAAACCTATATATGATGAAGACTGGCCACTGACAAAAGCTTTACATTTTTACAGTGACATATGTAACTTTTATAGAGCCACAGTAGTGTAATGCCTAGATGCTCGCCTGCCAACTAATTTGAACATCTTAGGTTTGAATCCACACCAACTGGCTTTTGTCTCCAAAACTGAAACTGGCTCTCAGGTCAACCCAGCCTAAAATGGGTAGCATGTAATGTCATGAGATGTAAAGGTGGCAAGTGGGATTTGAACCACATTAACCCACTGACTGCCAATTGGTCTATAAAATATAAGTCTAGCACCACATAGCAATGGGTACCAGGATGGATGTCCTAGGGAAGTAAAGATGGCCGGCGTAATGCTGACTGACCACATTACCCACCCAGTGCCGATTGGTCTGTAAAAATATGGGGTGCTCTTCCCATATGCCCAAAGGTGGGAAAAGGGATCTTTACTTTTTTTTTCTCTCTTTACTAGCATCACATAACAGATACACTGTCATAAAAGGGGTCCTTTATTTACTTGACAATGTCTCTTCTTTTCTCCCTCCTAATTATGTTTGTCTTCTCCTCTCACACACTCTTTCCATTGTCTATTTCTCCTCTCTCAAATTTACCATTTTCTCTATCTTCCTAATAAGTACCTCTTTCATTTAATTCTCTCTCCTCTCCATCATTCTCTCTCCTTTTTTTACTTCATAAATCTCTCTTTCTCTCCTCTCTTTCTCTCTCTGACATAACCATCAACTTAATTTTACCTTCTGTTCAATCAAGATATCAATTTAACTCCCTGTATGCCATCATGTTATCACTTTAACTCCTTTACTCCCAGCAAAATGTCACATCATGTTCTATCTCAGTGAGATATCACCAAAATTACTTTTATTTCAGTGATGTACTACTTTCAAATCATAGATCTCAATGGGAAATCACTTTAAATCTTTTTGTCCTTAACTATTGCAAGATTGTTCATAACTCAATCTCCTTAACTATTGCAAGATTGTTCATAACTCAATCTCCTTAACTATTGCAAGATTGTTCATAACTCAATCTCCTTAACTATTGCAAGATTGTTCATAACTCAATCTCCTTAACTATTGCAAGATTGTTCATAACTCAATCTCCTTAACTATTGCAAGATTGTTCATAACTCAATCTCCTTAACTATTGCAAGATTGTTCATAACTCAATCTCCTTAACTATTGCAAGATTGTTCATAACTCAATCTGTTTACTTTTAGAGGAAAAATGCATGCTCTTAAAATCTTGAATTTAATTTACTTGCTGGTGCTTAGCCATAGACTTTCAATGCATTGTCTCTGTGTTCTTAGGCATTGCAAATGGGCTTCATAATGCCGGGGTGCTGGATTCGATTCCAGCTGCAGACTGTCTTGTCTTGTCTTGGTTTCAACAGTGGTACCGAGAGCTGACTATTCAAAAAGCAATGACAAACTACTGAACGTAAAATTTGTCTAGAAAAAACCCACAATAGCAAAAAAATGCTAAGGTTGGTTCTGCAACGTCCAGTAAAGGATACACAAATAACTTTAAGTATATATGGTCATTAGGTTGTTTACTGAATATATATATATTCAGTAAATAACCATATGACTGCTCTAACAGAAGCTGGTTATTCCTGAAGAACGGTAACAACCTGGCATAAAGATATCAGACATTAAATGTGAACTCTCACCTGTCTAACAAACTAATGGACTCCTCTTCTTCAGGTGAGGTGGCCAGGGCTGGATGAGCCAGCGATGTCACTAGTGGACGGTGGTCATCAGTGCCAGGTGTTTGAATGCTGGTATCGTACCGAACTCTGGCATGTGGTGTTCGCCGGCCTCCTGTTGAAGTCAATGTTTCAGCATAAATGAAGGTCAAAGTCAAAGGGATCGACTTTACTGCACTCAAGTTTTATCTCATACTGCTCAGTCTTTCTCTCTCTCTCTGCAGAATGGCTAGCCATCTGACAGCAAACCTTACACATAGCACAAACTCGGTAGTTCTAGAGATTTTCGGCAGGGATCTCCATAAAAACTGCATTTATGAATTGAACAATGCATCTTTGAAAAGAATCTGTAACCTTTAGAACACAAGGGAAGCAGCTGAACAGTGAGAAGTCAACATGTGAGAAGTAAACAAGGGAAAAGTCAACTTGTGAGAAATCAATATGTGGGAATGGGAACCTGTCAGATGTTGCCAAGTCATATCAGATGGACAAGAAGTTTCCTGACTGTCACCCAACAATAAAACTACCTTAATTTAGTGCCTATAAACAGAATCTTATGAATAAATGTGGTGACATCCCCTTGTCTTCCACTTCTTCATAAGTGATGTGTATACTACACGCTTCTTAAAGTAAGTAGTTATATAGTCTGTGGTTTCTGTTCACCAGGCTTAAAATCCATGTAAAGTATGTACATGTGTTATTTTACCACAATGGTCTTAACATGCCTCTTTGTTTCCCTTTATCTAGCCCTGTTTTTACCACAGTCAAGATTTTTCTTAGTAGATTGCAGGTTTTTTTTTCTTCAGGCAATCATACAGATAAACTCCCTCATTTATTTTTCTTCTGATTCTTCAGCATTCTGAGTCCCAGAGGTTCACCACTACAGATATCAGCCACCCCCATTCATCTCTGTGATTGGTCTTCTCTTTCCAGATTGGTGACTCCAAGATTTTGTAGGTCTAGCTAGTCAGTCATTGTTCCCCTAAAGCAGCGGTTCTCAACCTGTGGGTCGCAACCCCTTTGATTGTCAAACGACCCTTTCAGAGGGGTCGAGTAAGACTATTGGAAAACATATATTAACTGAAGTTATGAAGTAGCAATGAAAATAATTTTATGGTTTATATGTTTGTTATATGCTTATTATGCGGGTAGCTGGTTAGGTATTACAGTCAGTCTTGTAGTTAGGAATGGTTTGTATTGGTTGTTGTGATCTGACCTGTCCTCACTCACTTTTTCCACACTCAGCAAATGCTCCATGATCCTGGTATGGAGTTCAATAACAGAAGAAAGAGCTGTATGGAAGTGGTGTGGGTTTGGACCTGGTTACTATCCATGGGAACCTGATAGGGGTGAGAGGTAATTCATAAAGCCCTCACAGCCTTTGTTTCGGATAGGTTTACCCATGACTTCTGAGGCGAACTGCTATTTGTTGTATTGTTCTTTACATTGAAGATTGTCATGTGCTCTGTAGGTGTTTAGGTGTAGTGTGTTTAAGACAGTTTATTTGTCATGGGCCTACAACTTGTGCCAGTACGGCAAACATAAGGTCTCTGACATCCGGATTTCTGTTTTTTTCTCTCATCCTTGATGTGTTAATCTTAAAGGCTTTAATCATGGAAGAGAAAAACTACATGCCTAAGCCTGTTACATGATTAGGCAGGCTTTTCCATGGCCCACTGGTGGGTCGCATCCAACTGGTAGAAGAATACTGATTTAAACAGACTATAAATAAAAACTCAAGAACACTCTTTAAACCAAACCTGGTAACAGAGTCATTGCTAGACTTTACCTCTTCGAGATCTGCCAGCCTCTGAACTGTGGAAATCTACAAAGCCTTTACCAGCAGTAGCTGTGGTTGAGTAAGGGGGGTAACTCTCAACTGGACTGTTTGAGCGGGGTGTTTGAGCACGCTCTCCAAAGGTGTAAGTGACTTCCTCACTGTTGGTACTTGTTGTGCTTGTACCACTCTGTGTCCTGGAAGAAAGATACATATTTAGTTCTGTATAGTTCCTGAATGGAAGACTAACATTTCTATCTGTACAGCAGATCCTGAAGAGAAGACTAACATTTCTGTCTGTACAGCAGATCCTGAAGAGAAGATTAACATTTCTATCTGTACAGCAGATCCTGAAGAGAAGACTAACATTTCTGTCTGTACAGCAGATCCTGAAGAGAAGACTAACATTTCTGTCTGTACAGCAGATCCTGAAGAGAAGACTAACATTTCTATCTGTACAGCAGATCCTGAAGAGAAGACTAACATTTCTATCTGTACAGCAGATCCTGAAGAGAAGACTAACATTTGTCTGTACAAATCTTGAATGGAAGACTAAAATACCTTAACGTTAAAAGATTTTTGTTTATTTTTAAACCGTCGAAACCAATATTAATTTCTGTACATCATCATCAAATATCTAAATATAATGTATAAATAATATTCTTTGCATCATCTTATGGATTTTACCTTTTATTTATGTTAACAGTGATCAGCTGAAGACACTAACCGACACAGTTATTTGTGTACTGTTGGTTTCTTTCTTCTTGTTTTGTTTCTTCTGTCTGCATTTGCCTTTACAAGAGTGATTGGTACATTGTGTTGTGGTTTTACAGATAGCCTGTGATATAAGATATAAGCACCTTTCTGCCCAACAAGAAGCCCAAGCCCAAGAAGCAGTGGGTTTAACCCCCCCCCCCCCACCCCCTCCCCACAAGCAGATAGGTCTCCAGAACCTATCCAGGCTACTGTTAGTATGAAGAACTGACTTCCTCATGGAAAGTGGTCTCATTTCTGTAAAAATAATACTGTCATGTGATTAAATGTGCAATTAAACATGTAGAAAGAAATACTAACATCCTAGAACATCTGAACATCAAGAAAGATTGGCTAGTAAATATAATCTTGTCTCAGAAAGTGAAATATTTTGCCTGCATCAAGTGCCATGACAGATTGGAAAGAACAGTAGCAGAAGACACGGTACAAGGAAAGAGGTGAAGCATGACCAGCACAAAGAAGGGCACATAATATAAGTGGCACCTTGAGTCTTCCTGGCAGGCTTTGAGAAAGCCTGATATGAATTAAACATGCAGCCATATTCTTGAACTCAGCCTGTATATTTAATGCCTTAGATGAAAGTTTCTTTTTAAAGAAATTGTATTAAAATTAGCACAAAAATAACTTTGTAAAATTCAAACTGACCTGGGCATGTATGTTCCTAAAGTTCTTTTTCCCGTGACCTGACCTCTCTGTTTACCCCTGTGCCGAGGTCGTACTTTACGTGGGGGTAAAGGTCGACGCACAGCAGCAGGTCGGACTTCTTTTGTGTCACTTTCAACCTCCATTCTTTGTGGACGGCGGCGTTTTTCTACAGTGGAAAGAACAACAAACACGGAGACAAATTAAAATACTGTTTCTTCAGGAAAAATATCTCTATGGGGTTCATGAAAGTAAGACTGATTTCTCTTCAGTAAGGCTAAATATTCTTTTAAGCATTCATTGTGGCGCAGTGATTTATGTCACAGGCATGAGGGAAAGTCAAGTCCAACATGATGTGTATAAGGAGATACTCCGTACGTCACTCGGGTGCCAGTTCTTCACTGTTCTGGTTTTACGGAACCTCACGCAAGACCCCTGCAGCACGTCCTCGTCGAACGCCACGGATAATGTCTCAAATGAGCATTAACAGAGCTGTCAGGGGATCTTGGAGTTTGGCGGCCCCCAGAGGTGATGTGTCCTTGTGGTTCTCATCAGCCCGCCCCAAACGCATAGGTGAAAAAGGTTATCAAACCTCTAGAGATTTACCCGCAGCACAGACGAGTAACATCTCCTGTGGGTGGCGTCTTGCAGCAAGATTCTACCCATGTACATCCTCTGTTAACCCTCAGTGTCGTCGTCACCGCTCTGAGGTACACCACAATAGCAACAGCCCATTGGCTGGCTAAGCCTAAATGTCCGACAAAACTAAATCCTACAGCACACGAGTAAGCTCAAAATCTGACCATCACAAATCGTATTGAATGGGAAAAAGTCCAAATGTCCACACCCAAAGACCCCACTCGCCTGAGTGTTGGGACCAAACAGATAACGATATGCCTGACGCAGGATGTTAAATTCTGTCGTGCTAACGGCTCGTCAAAGATATCTAACGTGCGAAGAAAAAGACTGTACATATTCGTGTGGTCACAAAAGTCCAGAACCCGCAGGCTGCTTCCCGCTGATTTACGGAGGGCACAGCCCTTGTCGAGCGGGAGGCCTAATACGGTTGTGAGGTTAAGCAGGCATGTGCAGGACGTGACAATTCCTTGGGTGAGCCCAGAACTAGAGCGCCATGTGCCAGCTCTGCATACATGGAAGCCTCCTTGGATGGCGGGGAATGCCCATGATTTGCCTCTGCCTTCCCTTGAGGGATAACCGTTCCACAAGGGGCTGCCCCAAAGAGGTACTCCGGAGAAGGCGACAAAGAGGACACCACACAAATCAGGCAACATCTCGACCCACACAAAACAATGGCTACAGTCATCCTAGAAATAGGCCTGATGTCTTCCCTCGAAGTTGGAGTACATCTGCCCGCGAGGCAGGGAACAGCAAAACGGTTGTACACACAAAACTCAGGTCCAGGTAAAAGCCAAAAGTCCAAGCGGACGATTAACCGGGACCTTCCGCCCGAATTCACAACCGGTGAACGAAAAAGAAGAAGAAGAAGCATTCATATATTTTCTTCTTATTCTGGTTTTTGTTGGCCTTTAAAAGGGCAGTTGGCATGTTCGGCTGTAGTTTACAGCTAGACTGTGATATCTCTGCCTTTCAGCCTAATATTTCAGCAAACCCTTTATTAGTTGCCTTTTACAACATGCTTGTTAAAAGCCAGTTGATCTTTACAACACCCCCCCCCCCCCTCGCACACCTCAAAAAGAGCTCCTGAACTCACACTGGGACTTCTATACATTCAAGTCCTGTCACCGTCACAGTTTTGTTGCCAGGATGAAATCCATTATCTCCAGTTTAATACCAGCTTTCAATGTGAATCGAGCACAAAAGAAGGCTGCTGATCATCAGAAGTAGCCCAAACTTTCACAAATTGTCCTATTTCTTTATCTTCTAGCAACTGTCAGGTGGTGGGCCTATCTAGCCTGTCTTGTATGGGAGCCCTGCTCAATAACAAGAAACCGCCTCAATGGAGGTAATATTATGTTATTACAACATCAATACACATTTGGCATTCCCATGTGTGCTCAGTCTGCGACTTCAAGGTGCTTCTACTGATTGTTCTCACGAGGAGTCGGGTATAATCTCCTATTTTAGCCCTGAAGGCGGCATAAACGTGCAGCACCGCACTTCACTCCCAGGTCATGCAATCATAATAGTGTCACATATTTGTCATTATCCACTAGCCCCGTCTGTACAGCAGTGATGCTATCTGCTTTGTCCATGCTTCTTCGGGCATGAATTGGTGCACTGCTTGCCAGCTAGTTCGCTCACTAAATACCTTTCACACCGACAGGACCAGGTGTTTAGATCCAGTTGAGGGAGGTTAAGTGCAATTTTTGAATGCTTTCTACCCATTTAGAACAAATACTACCTGTTGTGATTTTTCTGTAGCATGTTCACGTCTGATACAATTACTGCCTCTGTGGCTACTTGTTCTGCAACTCATGCTAGTGCTTTGGAAGCAGTGGTTTGCTCCATGGTCGACAGAGGCTGAAACCCGTGAAAGCCAGACCGGCAGGTAGGGAAGCTAGCTGGGGCACTTGTGCAGCTTCATTCTTCTTCTCTTCATCCAGTGACCTCATCAAAGTGCAGTAGGTAGATGTAAGGATTCTCTGTTTGCTCTTTCCGATGCATTGTATAAAGTGAGCTTCCTTTTTAAAAAGCCTTTCGTGATGTTATTGCATGGTCTTCCCATTGCTCTGTGTTCATTATCTCTTTCAATCGCAGATAATTTGTAATAATTTCTCTTCAATGCGAAGTTACATCATTTTATGGTAACAATATTTAACTGAGGGGATTGAAAACACAGCTATGGGATGGAAAGAGCTGCACTAATAAATGGGATAACAAGATTAATATAATGGAATAATGGGAGAGAAGAGGTGCAGATATACACATCATGGTGAATTGTGTGGTACTGAAAGTTATATTTCTTCAAGCTGGCTCTCTGTGGCTGCTGGTACCATGGACTTCTCATCAGATGACCAAACCATTGCATCTGTTGCTCTTTAATTAACTGTATGATTGATTTCAGTCCTAGTCTTCTTCTAATTTCTCCCTTATATTTGAAAAATAATTCTCAAATCTTGGAAATCATAAAGAGTGATCACTGTCCAGCCAAGAAGTTAAAATTAGAAAGCCAACCCAGACAAGAATTTTTACAGTATGTATGCATTCTTTTATAGACATTAACAATCAATCAATGATTCAAATAAATCAACCAACCAACTTTCACCTTTTTCACTTACCAGACAATAGTTCAAAAATAATGCATATATGTCCATTCAAGACAAAGAGTGAGATTGTAGACAGACTGGGAAGATTCTTGACAGCCTTTTTCCATGGCATGGAGGGATGCCAGCAAAGAAACTAATATATGCTCTTGGAAATGACAGGTTAGGGAGAGGCATGATCGCCCATCCAAGGAAGCAAGGCACTTCGTGACAATGATGATTTTTTTTAACTTACGCTGTTGCTCATAGGGTGGCACCTCACAGGAGGCCTGCCTCTGCTCATTTGGTTTTGGTGGAGATTGTGTGAACATTCGGATTCCTGGCTCAGTCGTCACCTGAAATGCAGAAGTAAAAACCGAATTTCATATGGTGTCTTCACAGTGAAGATTGGCTGCAACATATCAGCAACACACTCCCGGTAGTGCATTTTGTTTTTTAGACTGCTGTTTACCCATTACAGTAATGAAGATGTCTTGAAATAAATTAACTCATAAAGAGAACTGATTACCCACAACAGAAATAGACAACCTACATTCTTTGGTCATGTGATGAGAAGGAGAAAACTGGAATACATCATGACAATAGTAAAGTTAAAGACCGAGAGAAAAAAATGCTGGACAGTCTGACATCATGGCATGAAGGATCATCTGTATCAGAGTTGACTGAAAGAACACAAGACAGAAGGTTGTGTTTAGACATGACTACAACGCCACAAGGCACTGACTTTAATAAGAAGTTACCAATCTGCTTATGTTGCTCTCCCACTTGTATCATTGTCTATCGCTAAGTTTCTTGCCTGCGACTTTTTCTCCAGTATGTTTTTTTTGTTTGAAGAATGAATTAATTTTATTATGTATGAATTAATGAATGAACGAACAAGTACAAAACTGACATAACTGCACTCTAGACATTTCTTCAAAGGGTCCGTAGCCAATGAAAAGTTACTATGATGATGGTGCCGATGGCAAACTGATTAAAAGCCTATGTCCTGTAACTGCCTGTATCAGTTGGTGGTGTGCTGACACCTCTCCTTGTCATGACAATAGGTTTCAAGATTCTTCTCATGCTGTCTTGCCCTGTCTCTCTTTCCACAGATCCTTCCAGTGGTCACAACATGTTACATTTTCTCTCTTCTCATACCATAACCAAAAAATGATGACTGTCTTTTTTATGATATTTATAATAAGTTGTCTTTGAGCATTCGCCTCTCTCAAAACATCTAGGATGCTCTTCATAGGTGTCCAAGAAATTTTAAGAATCAATCAGTAAAACCACATCTCCTAGGAACTGCCATAATAGAGTAGATTTATCAAAAGGTGTGTTGGCAAGGAAGAAAGAACTAAAATTAAAAACTCACTGAGCTGTCTGTTGGCTGTGAACTGGAGTCTGGGTCAAGGTCACCCTCTGTCCCTCTGTCCTGGTGAGGGTCGTTCTCACTTTCATAAAGGACTGGAGGCGGAGGGTTTCTTTTGGCATTTTCTAATGCCTCCAGGAGCTCATCTCGACTAGAGGACACCGTTGTGACACTCGATATAAGGCTGTGTCGCTGGGACCCTGGATATGAATAAACATACGGCTATGTGAATTTACATGATTTCATGATAAACATATTCATATAATCATTTATACATTCATACACACATTCAGATTTATATATACAAACAATCATCTTTAATCTAGGCATCCATTCAGTGATTAATACATATACACAGTGATCTATATATTTGTAAACACATTCAGTGATTTATACACACAATCATCTATACATCTAAGAATCTATTCAGTAATTTACACATGTACATAGTCATGTATTCATCTAATAACTCATTCAGTGATTTATATATGCACATAGTCATCTATACATCTAACAACCCATTCAGTGATTTATACATGCAGGCAATCATCACATGTAACTATCTATTTAATGATGTATTTACATTCACTAGCTGGAAGCTTCACAGAAAGCTGAATTCTGTAGCTCTGGTAAAAATCCCAAGAGATCGCTGTAAAACTGACACTTGTGAACTGAGCAAAGCTTCTGGGAAATGAACCCATGACTTTCAAAGCATGAGATAAATGACTTGACCACCACTTCAGCATGGAGGCCACCCTTCCATAAATACACCAATGCAGCCATCTTCTTTGTCTTCTTAGTGTCCACAAGTCGTAAACTCTGGTGTAAAGTTCTAGTTGTCCGCTTCTGGACCTATCTTGTCTCAGTACTTGAGTTTTCTGTGCACATCTGTTTTACATTCTGGTTTTTTTGGTATGCACACTTTTGGGTCTTTACCTCTCAGGCAAATACACTCTGACTTCACTCGGTAAAAACCTTCAATTAGTTGCCTTTTACAACATGCTTGTTAGGACAACAGAAAAAAAAAAGGAATAGAAAAAGAAGAGAAAGAGGAGGAAGAGGAGGAGGAAGAAAAAGAAGAAAAAGAAAAAAAATGACAGGAGGAAGATGTGAAGGAGGTAGAGGGGGAAGAAGAGGGAGAAAGAGAAAAATAAGAAATAGAAGAAGAAGAATATGTTGACTCACCTTTGTCAGTGGATTCTGAACCAGATTTCATGCCACTATGAGGCCGAGAAGGCTGTGAGAACAGGGCATGAATCTGATCCGCACTGGCATATCTACGAGGGCTAAGAATCACACCTAAAATAGCAATAAATAGTTGAGATTTCCTGGCAACTTGTTAATAAACAATCCACACATTTCTACTGATGTAAAGACAAGAATAAAATCACCTATACTGATGCCTATATTACAGGTAATTCAGCAGTTACTACACATATTCCATACTTAACATGGTTGAACACCTATTGGCATGTATGATGTGAAACGATAAACTATACTGAACCGACCAAGGATATTTCATTGAAATACTAGCTCCTCTCTTCTGCACTTTATTGCCTCATTGAAGTATATGATCTCTGCCACTGCCGGTCCCAAGTCCAGATGAGAGAAAAGGAGGGTTGAGTATGTGGTCAGCTCCCAAACCAGGTACACAATTTTTATGACAGAAACTTGCAGGAATGGAATCGTGCAGGATTCAGTAAAATGGAGGAATAGACTGTGAGCCCTATGTTAAATATAACAGCATATCAGGATAAGTATGATGATGATGGAGCATACTCATTCAAAAATTTACAAGCCAGTCTACTCTTCTGATATTTTTCCCCCTTTAGTGCAGTAAACTTTAGCTCCACCTCACATTATTAAACTCTGTAAAGCGCTTCTGTTGTAGGTTTTCCTTTATTTATTTGTGATCAAGAGAAAGGAGATTCCAGTTATGCTGTTATCAGGTTCTTTCAATGTGTTTTATATCCAGCACCAGCTTCCGTTCCTCACATCTTGATTCCCTGAAATTTGACTAATATTCTATCTAAACTCAACATTATTGATTCTCTTACATAATATAATTCCCTCTATTTCGCATAGACACCAGTTAATGAATGTTTGTAGTTTATTAATAACTGTTTTAAGCTCTTCCATAAACAGCGGGCAGCAGAAAAAAAATCTTGGACTGGATTATGAAATGGTCTCACCATAAAGCTGCACTAAACCTGCACATCATTTAAAAAAAATTCTATAATAAAAGTACAATTTTCAGTTGCAGCGACACCTGCAGTTTAAAAGTTAGAAAATCTGACCTACACGGCTGCAGCATTAACTGTTATTCTGACACAGTCTATACCTCTAAGGTTACATTTTTGCATGCAGAATCTTATTCGCACAGCAACAAAGACTGAAGAAGACTGAATGATATAGCTGCTACATGACTGGTCAAAACATTTCTGGTAAATCAGCTAGAAATTTACACAGACTGGTGTGGTCCATGAATCACAAGTTGAAGAGCACTGCTTAAAAAAAAAGTATTTAAAAAAAGTTAGTTGCATATTCTTTATAGTAGTAGAAACAACTCCAGCATTTTATTTTAGCTGTTTGTGATTTCACTAGGTAATTTTACGTCTAGTAGTTTGTCACTAAGTACACGAGATGGGAGAGCTGGCGAGAGACCACGTTCTTTCAGGCAGACCGTGATGAGAGTGTCGTTCTGCAAAGGACCTGATGCATGATGATATTGACGATGATGCGTTTGCCACTGTTTACTGAATGATTGGCTCTCAATACCACACTTGAAAGAAAGTGGTTGCTGCCAAATCCCATGAACCACTTACCATAGAATTACTAAAAAAAATAAATTGTTAGCAACCCTTAAGTCACAGAAGCAGACACTCCTTTAAAAGGCAGTGTTAATAAAAGAAATAAATGGCTCTTATTTTGGCACACCTTTTTTATGCATCATTTTTCAGCACTACTGTAACAAACACTTTGTGGTGAAAAGTGACCCTGTTTCTTTAAAAGACATTTTTTGGTGGGTACCAACACCTTTTCTTCTAGGAAAAATAGCACTAACTAAATGTGTTTAGTCTGCATTAGTGAGTGCTCTAACTTACCATGATTATCATAGCCTTCCTTAGTAACAGCGTCTTTCTGCGCTCTCCTGGGAGCTGGAAGAGGAGGAGGGGGTTGTTTTTTTGTATATCTTGGTTGTTTCTCTCGTTTTGGATGAAAGAATGGGACGTAAGGTTCTGAGGGGGTAGACTGTGTCGACTGCTTGGACTGGTAATCTTCCATCTGAAATTTGATGGAAGACACAAATGTTAGCTAGTAAGTCAACAGATTATCCTCAATACACATGGAACCATTCAGTCAATAAGTGTTTGGATCCCCTCCTTAGTAAATCTTGCAGAGCGTAAGGCCTCGCGACACAAGTTCTGTGTTGGTTTCTTATTCTTCTGTGGCTTCCTGCATAGTGCTCTTGTCTGGCCACACCCTTTTTAATATAATGTTCTTGCAGTCTAAGACATAAACGTAATATATTCCTACATTCCAGGGTAGCAGAGCAAAGATTCTACAATTCTATAAAATATCTCTACATTCCAGGGTAGCAGAGTAAAGATTCAAATTTTCTATAATATATTCCTACATTCCAGGGTAGCACAGTAAAGATTGCACAATTCTATAAAATATCTCTACATTCCACAGTGACACAGTAAAGATTCCACAATTCTATAATATATTCCTACATTCCAGGGTAGCAGAGTAGAGATTTCACAATTCTATAAAAGATCTTTACATTCCAGGGTAGCACAGTAAAGATTCCACAATTCTAAAATATATTTCTACATTCTAGTGTAGCAGAGTAAAAATTCTACAATTATATAACATATCTCTACATTCCAGGGTAGAAGGCACAAGACTAAACAATCCTACTGTTGCTGTCAGCTTTTCGTCTTTCTAGACAATACAGTTATATTGTCCTATGTGAAGTCACGGAAATCACAGCCCATGGGATGGTGAGTGCCACTAGTAAGATCTACCCTCACTAAAAAAATAAGTCTTCCACAATCAGAGCAATCAGGACCTTTATTGCTATCACATGTATTTAATGTGCTTCTTCTCAGAGGTTTGCAATAAGTGTTTTCCTTTATTCCCATTTCCTTCTGATTTTCTTCCTTCAGGCAAACCAGTCCCTGGCATTTTGTATCCATGAATCCACCTCAATTCCTGTATCATTCACATCCCACTTGCACACATCTATTAAACAGTCCTATAGGTTACCAGCAAAAACTATGAATGGCCATTCTGGTCTGTAATTTAAGACTACTATGTCTAATTTTCTACAATTTTAACATAGAAAGTTCACCTCTCTTCTGGCTGCCACCTTCTGCATGGCAATATCATCCTCTTCTGAAGAAGACTTTGGTACAGCTGCACCTTTTAATGGGATGGTGGTTCGAACCTCTGGTGCTATGGCTTGCTTGACTTCATTATATGTGGCATACGGGTTAATGTTGCCTTCATCTTCTGCAAAAGAAACTATAAAGTTTTGTTTCTCTGTTATCAAAATTAAATTTCAATATAAAATACTCAACATCCTCTACTTTAGGGGCAGGGGGTAACTTCTTCAGCACCAAGCAATGCTTGATGCATTCACTGGAGTTTCTGAGTATGCTATATTTTTCTTAGCTCCATTGTAGACAATCCACCTGTAGCTTTAGTCCACTGTACTGTAAGACCGCAAAAGAAATGACCAACATATTAGTGTGAACTATAAAGTTTTTAAAACCAGCTGAGCCCAAGTTTTTAACCCAGTTGTTCAATCAGTTTTTGTTTTGTCCCACTTTGCTTTGGCTTGAGCCTCCTTACACTCAAACACTTTATTCTTTAAGTAAAAACTGCTTTGGAAATGAAGATTGAAGAAACACATTGGTCCAAAAGAGTTAATCCCGATGAAGTGGTTTATGATTTACAACAAAAATGATACTACTGCATTTTGGGGCAAGCACTTAAGTACTTAGTCTCTCCCAATAAAGGTTGAAAGATGTGGGTAATGACCACTCCTGGTGTGAGCTGGTTAGCTACATGTTACTACGACCATGACCGTGATTAATTCCCTACCTCATCAATCATACTGGCAACAATTTCAAGTCAAACTTTTGTCTTTTCCTCCTCTTCCTCTGTGTTTGACTTTAAAAGGAGTAGAGGGCATGCTGTGTTAGTTTTCATCTAGGCTGTTATATCTGTGCCTTTCACTCAACACATCCAGTTTCAGCAAACCCCTAATTAGAACATGCTTGTAAGGGGAGTAGTAGATCTATTCTCTCCTCAACCTACAAATGGGGCCCCAGAACCCACACAAGAAAACAGACTTCATCAAACGGGTTACTATTTTCAAGCATAAATCTAAAAAGTGAAGAAAAAAATTGCCAATTTACAGTTAAAAATGTAAGCAGAATTAATTAGTTACTCCACAAGTTCAGTGATGTTGGATGACTTGCTTTTCAAGAATTAAGTGAAATCAACAGAAAGATGGAAGAGTTCTCAGTCCAAATTTAGTAAAATAAAAAAAAAAAAATCAAGACTCTTTAAATAAGAATTTTGCAAAGTGAACAAAAAGATCAAGATGGATCACAAAAGAGTTTAATAAAGAGAACTAGACACACACACATGCATGCATATGAAGTTTAGTAAAGTGAACCCACCCACCGACATGCATGTGCACACATCAACGCACACACTCATATGCATGCATGTCAACAATAGACAAAAAAAAGACTAAAGCTACAAATAAGAATTTAGTAATGGTAGCAAAATGATTCAAGGCAACTCGGAGGAAATTCACCAACATAAGCAAAAAAGTATTGACTGCAGACTTATAAATTAGCTGATTCAACAGAAAACAACATTAAAAAGAAAAGATTCACATCTTTCTGGAGAAGAACTTAACAAAGTAAACAAAATAATTCAAAACTTCTCAAAGATCAATTTTGCAGTGTGAAAAAAAAAATGATGACAGAGGAAATATTAATTACTTTACTGACAAAAGAAGCAAAATTACCTGAGCGGCCAAAGCTGCCATTGTCGCTGGTAGTTTTATTGCTTCCGTCTATCAACCAGGCGCTGCTGTTACCTGGCAAATTATCGTCACTTTGTATGGAGATGAGCAGGTGAGCATTCCTCTGTTTGCTGATGTGCTCCGGTAATGTGCTGCTGCTGCTGCTGTCCAGTTCGGTGTTCAATCGTTTGTCAAGGTCATTCATAAGCGATGTCTCGGCAGTGATGTCTCTTCGCAAGTTTGCGCTGTGTTCTGTATGAGATCATCTTAACTTTAAAGTCAACTTAATAATGGGATTATACATCAAACATTATTACAACATTTTAGCAGTTTAACTTATAACAGTAGGAATTAATTTAACATCATAATCCACTGTAATTCAGTGTAACAGATTAACAAAACATATCAGTACACATTAGTCACAATATGGATTAAATAACAATCAAATACAGTGTAATGTAAACTTACAGTTACAATAAATTCAAAATAACATTATATAAAATAATTTAACACTGCAGTGAATATTAATTTTACATTTTAACTGAGTTTTAAGTTACCACAGTATAAAACAAATAAATACATGACATTCAAATTGCTACTTTTATTTTGTCTTGTGTATCCTCCCTTCTATTTCTTTTCACTGCTTCTAAAAGTTTCAATCAATACTTATGAACTTATTTCATATATAAATTATGCAAATTAATTTAATATTTTATAGTACAAGATAAGTTAACATCAGACTATAATTTGTAGAAATGAGTCAGAACTTAAAAACACAATTAATGCAACATTTAAACTTCAGTTAACATAAAATAATGATAAATTATTGTAATGGGCAGGTTATAACTAAACATTACAACAATGATGAGGAGGAGAAAGAGGAAGAAGGAAGAAGAAGAAGAAGAAGAAGAAGAAGAAGAAGAAGAAGAAGAAGAAGAAGAAGAAGAAGAAGAAGAAGAAGAAGAAAAAGAAGAAGAAGAAGAAGAAAAAGAAGAAGAAGGAGGAGGAGTTTAAAAAAAAAAAATCGGGAGAAAAACACTAAAGTTCTCCAGTTATATTTTATGATTACACACCTTTATATCGAAGCCTGTCCTTGCGTCGGTGGCAAAACAAGAATGTTGCAATCAGAGCTGAGAAGAGGAAGACGACTGCACCACAGATTGGCACCATCACATACACTTTCTCATAGAATTCTACCTCCTGGTGATGAAGCACCTTTAAAGGCTTGATTGTACCTGCAAACAAAGTCAGCCATGAGTCTTAATTGTATCTGCAGGCACAATTATTCAATTACAGGCACAATCAATCAACCAGGTGCCATCTCCACAATGAAGGTTGATTGCCACAGATCTCCAAACACCCACTCTCTTGTATTGGTTGTACACTCTCTTGAACTGCTGTTAAACCATCTCCTGATATTGCCCTCTCTTTTGTATCATTTTTACCTCTTGCCCTAGATCTTTCCCTCCAGCATAGTTTTTAAAAGAGTGTTATGCCTTTTAATGTGGCCAAATATTTCAATTGTCTCTCTCTTTTTGTATTTTAGTTCTTTCTTTTAGTAACTTTTTAAAAAAAAATTCATAATCTCTTGATAACCTCTGCACTTGACTGTTTTTGTTACCAGGAAATATGACACATTCTAATAATTCACAACAGCAGCAAATGAAAACAAAAATTAAAAATCATTTTCCACACGTTGATGCCTTTTTTGCATATAGTGTTAATCTCATTTAAAAAAAATAATTCTTCTTCTGCATTCACCGTTAAGATTGCAGTTGGCATGTTGCATTGTGATTTACAGCAAGGCTGCAATATCTGCAATATCTGCGCTGTCTGACTCAACACATCTGATGATCAGCAAACCTCTTCTGTGACAAACTGTTTACGACCAGGTCAGGCACTCTGAGTAGTGATTTCAGAGTCGAATGCAGCTGTTTTGAAACTTCCTGTTCCCCTCAAACAGCTGCTGGACTGACAGGCCTGTATCATCATACCTGACCTTTGTTTACCAATAAATTTCAATAGGTCTCATCACTTTGCTGATTAATAAAAGAATGGGTAACTTTGTGGCACTTCAAAAGTGAGGTGGCCATCTTTACACTGTCATTATGACATCACTGTGTTTGTCAGCACAGTGATGTCACATGTTTAACACTCTTGACATCCTTGGCAACAATACTGACAGGTTACAAGATAATGCCGTAGTTATTGTAATTTCTGTCACATTTTTGAGGTTCTCATTTGAAGCTCCCTAGCTTGTTTTTTTTTTTTTTTTAAATTGTTAGATATCTTTTGCCAGATTGTCTGTGAGTGTATTAGTTAAAACATGACAAGGAAAAAGAAAGCTGGGAAAACTTACTTCCAGCAAATGTAAGAGTAGCAAACTTCAGCTGAGCTGAGGTTGAACCGGCATCACTGTGGGCTACCACATCCATGATATACCAGGTCGCTGGCGAAAAGTCCTGCACTACCAGTAGTGTCTGAAACATTAATGACAAGTATTTGTAGTATTAGTTAGTTGGCACCTTTCAGTCTTTCCAGGTAATAGTGTTATATTAGGCTATGAAGGATGGAACTCACAACCCATGGCAATTGCAAGTGCGACTAGCAAGACCCACTTTCATTAAGAAAAGCTGTAATATTAGTAACACATATGTGTAAACAGTAATAATAATGATGATAATAACAATAATAATAAAATCTCTGTTAAAATAAAACAAATAAGACTAGTTCATTCATTGTGCTGACTAATAGTAAAGTAAAGTAAATTAAGATCCCTTTTCACACCTTAGGCCCATCGGGCATATGGGAAGAGCACCCCATATTTTTACAAGACCAATCAGCACTAGGTGGGTAATGTGGTCAGCATTACGTTGACCGTCTTTACTTCCCCAGGGCAGCCATCCTGCTACCCATTTTAGGCTGGGTCGACCTGCGACGCCCCATACCATGATAAAAATCCACGCAGCCAGCAGCGGGTTTCGATCACAGTACGTTGGAATTACGTGTCGGACTCGCAATGCCTAAGCCATGGACACCGCGTGCTGACTAATACTAGCCTGTTAATTGGGTAAGCAGTGTTCCACCTTCATAGTGAACTGACCCTACTGAATTATTCCATTCTTATAAAATTAAACCCACAAAGAAAGCAAATTGCTATCCCTTGTTTAAAAAAAAAAATTTAACAGATTACAGTACCAGCAAAGCCAACAATGTACACACACATTAAATGCTCACAGTTACAATCAGAAGTGCCAAGACAAACAAAACACCAACAGAACTGCAGTTCATTGCCAAAGGAAACAGTAATCACTACAGATCAGCAGTTGCACATGAAATTATTTGCATGAGGGAATGCTAGGTTTGTGGCAAACAGACCATTTGCCATTTTTTAAATTGCAGCTACAACATTAACCTTGCTGGGCACAGCCGAAAAGCATTCTAAATGAAATCTGCAGCTCACTAGCTGTGAAGTTGTTGACATTGCTGATCCATCTGCTTCTTAGTCTTCCTCATGCTTTGTAAAAACCTTCTCTTCTAGAGTTTTAATTTTACAGGTGCCATTCTAATGATATAATCCCAAAAAAAATAAAATAATTCTTTGTCTCTATATGAAATCATTGTCACACTGTGACACTCAAAATGGAAAAAAGCAGAAATGAAGTTTGTAAACTCCTTCAGTACAAAATGACTCATTACACAGTTCTTTGTTAACTTCTTACTAGAAATGCTTTTTCACTCCTTCTCTCTGCCTCACTTTGTTATTATACACATGTGTATTAACTTATTTTATTCCAAATGTTACTGAAAAAAAAAAACTATTACATTCTTTTAACAGAGATCACTCACTGTGTTTGGCAGGATGTTGTTGTTGACCAGCTGCCAAGTCTCATCACCCCACACATGGTATCTCACAGAAAAGGCACTGATTGGACAACCAGACGTCTGCCAAGAGGTCAGGTCAAGGGTAACTGATGTGGCATTGACAGCTGCCAGTAGCATGCTTTGTGGAGGGCCAATTGGAGCTGAAAGTTTCAAACAAAAAATGAAGAGATATTTCATCTTTAAAAATCAGATTTTTATTTAAACTGATGAAGGACATAAGATAAATAATTGTGACCAATACTTATAAATATCAGTAAAAAGGTTGACCAATATTTCTGGATCAATATTTTCAAATCTTCAGGAAAGGATTTGATTTGATTTGGTTCAAGAACCGACATCACAGCACCCGGGGCATTCCAATTAGCTCTCCGACTCCATCTTCAGCAGCCAGCGAAGAGTTCCGATACTAATGGTGCCAGTAGCTTTCTGATTAAATGTCCGTCTTGCCTTTCCTCTGAGCCTTGAGCTTCTGCCAGAACCTCTCGTCACCCCCAACTGCATCAGTCTCACCAAACTGTGGTGATCCATCTGCTCCTCCGCATTGTACATGCTCTCCCACAAGGCACTAACCACGTCTGCCCTATCATGTAGCAGTATTCCACCAAGTTGTGCAGAGCCAGCCAGTCTGTCCGCCTGTTCATTTCCCAACACACTGGCATGACCCGGTGAAAAAAGCCAGACAATACTCCTCACTCGTGTCCTCCGCAGCGAAGCATGCCACTCTGCACGAAGCATACCTGTTCTGATCTTCCTCAGCATGCTTTCTGAATCAGTTACAATTACAATGTGTGTTTGTGTCGTGTTCTCTAGCCAGCGGAAAGCTGCAGTGACCGCCTCCACCTCCATTCTTAAGCTGGATGTTGTGGTATCATATGCTAGGCTCTGCTGCACCAAACGTCGACCATTAACTTTTGCTAAAAAGCCCCAAGCACTTCTTTTGCCTCTTGACACTGAACCGTCTGTGTAAATGATCAAATCCTCTGAGCGAGCATTATCTTGAATTAATTGCTGAATTTCCACCTCTGTGGCACCTGCTGGCCAGTCTCTGCATTCCCGGCTCAGCGTAATTATGACTCTACACAAATCTGACTGCTCAGGTGGCACTTTGACCCACTCCTCTCCTCGCCTAATGTTCTCAAGGATGCATACCTGTCTGATTGTGTCAGGAAAGGAGATCAGGTTTTTGGGATTGGTACATTCAAAATATTTATTTAACGAATCAATATTTTGGGATCAACACCTTCAAATGTTGCAAGGAAATCAATCTTTTGGGCAAATACTAACAAATATGCGTGAATGGAGATAAGTGGATAAGCTTCTTTCTGTCAGGATGTTAGTTTGTTAAAAATAAGTGGTCATTACCTGGACTCGACTAAGTTCAGAAAGGTGGTCAACCATGATAGACCGGACTCAGGCGTAGTGCAGACCAAATCATGACAGGAGAGAATCAATGAGGCCTTGACATGACCAGATATTTGGACAGGGCAGTGAGACAGTTGGCTGACAACAATGTTCAGAGACAGATGTACGACAGAATGGAATGAACAATTTCAAATAAAAGGGCAGCACAATTTTATTCTATAAGAAAGTGCGCGAGAAGTTGTGTTCAGAATTTTATCAGTACATGATTAATAAACAGAAACAAACTGAAATATGATTGCTGTGATTAACCACATAGGATAAAATGGTAGTGTGGGAGCTGTGATTCAGAAAGAGGCGACATAGCCTGCCTAAAAGAAACCCAGTCTTTCACCAGATCTCCCATCTCATACACTTTGACACCCAAGGTGTCAACTTAAATCCTGTGCCAATTTTCACATTGGTCATGCTGACCCTTGCCTGGTAAGATGTCTTCTGCGACTGTTCTTTCCAATCTTCCATAGTGCTTGATATGGTCAAAATATTTTAGTTTCTGAGACAAAATCCTGTTTACTTGCCAATTTTACTTGACGTTCAGATCTTTTAGGATGTCAGTATTTCTTGTCTTCTTGGTCCATGTTATTCCGAGAATCTTTCTGTAACATGTCAGTTGAAAAGACTTTCTCTTCCTTAATGACTGCCAGGTAATCCACAATACAATTTGGTATGTTGCTACAGGGAAGATGCATGCCGTCAACATTTTGACTCTGATCTTCCTGCTAGTGCTTAACCGCAGAGTTTTAATGCTCTTAATAATACAGTAATCATAATAATAAAGGAGAAATATTGTAAAATGAAGAAAAGTACCAGAGCCATTAGTTCGAGCTGTGACTGTCTCCGACTCCAAACTGTGTCCAATCTTGTTGAAAGCATGTATGTTAAACTTGTACTGTGTCCCACACATGAGGTTGTTGGCAATAAAGGTTCGATTCTGAGGTCCCAGGGTCAAGGAATGCCAGCCATTGTGTTCTTTCTTGTAGTTCAGGACAAAACCTAAGACCCCAGAGAAAAATCAACGTTAATCCCAACAAGGGAAACTATTAAAAGCATGACAATGAGACCTGGGGATAATTTTTAACAACCTAGACTACACCACGAGATATGATAAATATAACAAAAATAATCCTCATTCCAAATTCTATTTTTTGGGGGGTTCTTTTGTTGGGGTTGCAAGAATAGGAGCACTATGAAAAATCCCCATAGAAGTACAACTCTCTACACCTTCCCTCCACTAAAGAGTAAAGAACTATTTTCACAGTAGTGTTGCATCAGGGATATTATTCTGGACCCCCTCCCCCCACCCTTGATATATATATATATAAATAAATGGCAGCCAGGTCAGATACACAACAGACTGTTCACAGCTGGGTCAGATATATGACAGACTGTTCACAGCTGGGTCAGATATTTGACAGACTGTTCACAGCTAGGTCATATATATGACAGACTATTCACAGCTGGATCAGATATATGACAGACTGTTCACAGCTGGGTCAGATATATGACAGACTGTTCACAGCTGGGTCATATATACGACAGACTGTTCACAGCCGGGTCAGATATATGACAGACTGTTCACAGCCGGGTCAGATATATGATAGACTGTTCAAAGATGGGTCAGATATACGATTGGCTGTTCGCAGCTGGATCAGATATATGACAGACTGTTCACAGATGGGTCAGATATATGACAGACTGTTCAAAGATGGGTCAGATATACGATTGGCTGTTCGCAGCTGGGTAAGATATATGACAGACTGTTCACAGCTGGGTCAGATATATGACAGACTGATCAAAGATGGGTCAGATATATGATAGGCTATTTGCAGCTGGATCAGATTTATGACAGACTGTTCACAGCCTAGTCAGGCACACAGAAGTCACACCGTTCTGAAACTTCCAACTTCATTCATACATTTGGTGGACTAACAGACATGCATCACTATACTCGACTTTCATTCACAGGTTTCATCTTTCATTCGCAGGTTTCATCCCCTTACTAATAAAAAAATGGGAAAAAACTGATTTTAAAAAAAAAAAGCCGCTCCTCTTTGGTGCATGTCAATAGTAGGGCAGCCATCTTTAAACTGTCACTATGATGCCGCCATGTTCGCCCGCACCATGATATCATATGCTCAACACTCTTGACATCCTTAACAAGAATATTGACAGGGTGCAAGACATTGGCATAGTTATTTTAATCTCTGCCGCACTTTTAATGTTTTAATTTGCAGCCCCCATACACAAAAGACAATTAATGGTATGTGTGCTGCTAGTATACACACGGTCATGCTTGTCAGCTTTATGGGGTCCATGCACTATACTGAGACTCTCCTCGTGTGGTCTATGAGGGAAGACTGATGCCCTCACAGAGATATTTGTGTGTATTTAACTATTTCAGTACCAAATGGTTGGAGTCTTTAAAGTGGCCAGAGCTGACACATATCAGTTTAATATTTGCGCCAGGATATGCAGGTGTGCAAGGAAATAAGCAAGCTGATTGGCTTGCAGGTGAAGCTACTGTGGAGGGGGCACAAGCCATGGACCATGCTGATATTATGAATGCTCTATGAGAATCAAGTGATGATTGTGAATCTGCAACCATGACCAGACTGCAAGAACACCATGTTAAAAGGGTGTGGCCAGAAAAGAGCACTATGCCGGAAGCCAAATGAGAATAAGAAACCAGCACAGAATGATGCGATTTTTGGACTTTTCCTGTCACATTCATCTGTTATACTAACCTCTTATGTTTTAATTGTTACAGTGACATCTTATTTCTCAAAGTTATCCATTTCCACTATAAACCCTTTATGTTTTAATTGTTACAATAATGTCTTATTCCTCAAAGTCATCCATTTCCAGTATGAACCCCTTATGTTTTAATGGTTACAATAATGTCTGAAATCTCTAAGTTATACATTTCCGGTAAAAGCCCCTTATGTTTTAATTGTTACAATAATGTCTTATCTCTCAAAGTTATACATTTTCAGGGTCATGTGTCTAAAAAAAAAACATGCTGCCTCAAAGTACACAAATGTTGCTTAGACATTCTTGAATTAAAAACTATCCAGGACCGAATCAGTTTAATCAGTCAATGTTACTCTTTGCAAGCAAACAAACAAACACACAGGTAAACTAACCAATAATTGTGCTGCCTCCATTGCTACCAGACAACCAGTTAACCTGAATGGTGGTGGTTGTAGTTAACACCAAGTAGAGATGAGGAGGGTGTGGCGGTGCTGTAGATGATCAGACAAACATAATAAGAGCAAGCAGATTCAAGAATACAGAAACAAATACAGTATTTGAATTTTTATGAACTCTTTCAGTACCAAACAATTGTTATATTAAATCCTTATATCCTAAGAAGTTGAGCTTAACAGTTATAACTACTTCAATATGAAGGAATTCAATTTAGTCATTATGGGACAAAATGGTCAAACTGTTAATGTTTCTTTTTCTTAAGTGGTAATCAGTTATAAACTCTGGAAGAAAGTTTTGGTTGTTTATCCACTTCTGGACTTTGGTCTTATTCTAGAATTTGAGTTTTGTGTGCATATTTGTTTTACAGATCTGGCTTATTTGTACGCAGACTGCTGGATCCTCGCCTCTCAAGCAGATTCACTCTGACTTCGAAGGAAATATCCATAAATTAGTCGCTTCTTACAACATGCTTATTAGGGTGGCAGCGGGCCTATTTTTTTTTCTTTCCCCTTGAGGCTCTGACCCACACGGGGAAAATATAAGATTTGAATTTATATTTATCAGTATTTGAATTTATATTTATTCTATCAGTACTGAGAAGTTGTTATATTCACTTCTTATATCTCAGATTGTTCTAGCTGATTCTTTTGGTTATTCTATATTACATCATGAATATTAGATCCTTCTTTTATTCAAATTATGCTACCTATCTGTGGGCATATTGATAACTTCTCAATAAATGATTTAAATTATTAGTATTAAACTTTGCAGTATTGATCCCTTGTACAGGAATTTTTGTACCTCTAATATACTGATTCATCATTCCGTATAGTTCTCTCGGGCTACCTTTAACATGTTTTTTTAAATTTCTGAAGCTATCATCACATCATTCTGGACAGATTCTGATGCTCCCATTTCCCCCTCAACAGCTCTACAAGAGTAAAATGACTGATCCCGACTGCTCTGTGCTGATTATATCAGACATACTGTGTCCTTAGAGAAATGTTCAAGTCTGGTTGCTCCAGGCTGCACCCCTGTGTGTTGCTGTGACGATTTTCTCTGCGATAGAGATCTTGCATGGCATTAATGACATCACTCACATCCAGTGCCGAGCCCGGCATAGTAACGCCACCTTGCCCGCCAGATAATTGGCAGGCTTACCGCCTTGGACACCGGCATGTTGAAGATACATGTTTTACAGCTGACCCAGAAAATGTAAATATAAACAGAACTTTTAAAAGACAGCTGATAATTATTAATTCTTTTGTTGTTATTCATTTCTTCTTTAGAACTTTACAGTGAAATTAAAAATACAACCATGTTTTATTTATTCTTTTTTTTTCTGCCTTCCTAAATATCTATCTGGCTGTTTTAGTATTCAGCCTTTTACATTTTTTTCTTGCTATTTAAAGTTATGTATATTATTATATAAACATAAGATATTTATTGATAAAATACAATTGCGATCTCAAAGATGAGTGTTTGGAACGGCCAGATGTAAGATGTGTCTAAGTGGTCTCGAGGCATTGTGTTCACTTCGAATGCTGAAGGTCCCAGGTTCAGGCTGGGATTTTTTTTCACATGAACTTCTAATAATTTATTCTGGTCTCTGGGAAGTAAGAGCGAATACCCGTGTGTATTGTTGCTTGCGCACGTAAAAAAATCCCCTGGCAGCTGGAAACTAAAAAGAGAAGCCTAACGGTGCTTTTTCTGGGCAAAATTTGGAGTTTAAAAACTACCCAAAGTATTTCAAGATCCTCGCTGGTGCTACAGAGTTCGTGCACTACACTGAGATTCTTCAGACTCATGCTTGAGGTAGAAGTAGACAGAAGCACATATGGGTTACTACCCTTGTGCCAGCCATGATGTTGAACTGTTTTATAAACCATATAACATTTCCATTACCAAATTTAGGCTGGGTTTACCAATTTCAGTTTTTAAAATAACCATCTTGAGAAACATCTGAACATAAAATATCCAAGCTGGCTTTTAAGCATGCATCTGTGAATCTTTGCCTCATTTGGTCCAGTATGATCGTTCATTTGTTCATTTCAAAATAATTTCAAAATAAAAGTAAAACAGCACTGATCTAGTTAAACCTTGGTTATAACTGATTATAAAATAAAAAATAATTAAAAAGAAACAAAGAATTCAGTACTTACTTCCTTTGGGGTCACCAACTAAAAGAAGAAAGTAAATGGTAAATTGTTAAATGCAAAAAAATTCACTCTGTGAATTCTCTGTGCATATAATTATATTTATGGATAACTGATAAGACAGACACACATCATGTTAATATTGCATATATATATGTGTGTGTGCGTGTGTGCGCGTGCGTGTGTGTGTGTATGTGCATGTCACTTAACTGCTCATCTTTTGACCTACCTGTACTTATATTCACATGTGTATCTGTACATGTGTGCATGTCTTTGTGTGCAGGCACGCATAAAAATAGCAATATTGTTCTACAGAACATCTAAATGATAACACTATAGCATGTAACATGTTCTACAGAACAAACATACAGTGCCATGACAGGACAAATATTTTTAAACATAATATGTAAAAAATAATACAATAGTATGAAGTCTGTTCTATAAAAAACATAATGTACCAAGACAGCACAAATATTGTTCTATAACATCTAAAAATAAAACTTTAGAATGAATACTGTTCTACAGAACATCTATAAGATAACATTGCAGCATTCACACTGTTCTATAAAAAACACAATGTGCTATAATAGCACAAATACTGGTCAACAGAACATCTAAATGATAACATTTTAGCATAAATACTTTTCAACAGACCATATACTGTGCTAGGATAGTATAAATATTGTTCTACAAAACATTTAAATAATAATGCTCAGGTAGACTACTGTTACATTAAACACATACTGTGCCAAGATAGCAGAAGTTGTTCTATAGAACATCTAAATGAAAATACTATAGCATGAATACTATTCTGCAGAACATACGATGCCCTGATAGCACAAATACTGTTTTACACAACACATGAATTATAGCATACCTTGAACTCTGATTGTATAAACTATCTGACTTGTCCCATGTGGGTTTTCTGCATGGCATGTGTAGTTAGCAGCGTCCGGTCCCGTCACCGAAGAGATGTGCAAAGATCCATCTTCCAAAACATTCATCCTTTCTGAGTTACTGATTGGTTGATTTCTGATGATTTAGAGAGAAAATATGGACAGGATGAAGGTTAACATTCCATGATGATGTTATTATATAAGAAGTATATTTTCAGAGGATGGAAGAATAGACCGGGAAATTAAAACAAGATGCCACCTAGCCAGTTAATTTAAATACCAACTGACATCGTTATTAAGACATCCAAACATAAGTATGAGTGCCAAGAAACAGATTATGATCATCCTATTTATATTAACATTGTGCCAGACTTGGACATTATCAAAGGCTAACTCACGTAAATTAAACACCTGTGAAATGAGATGCCAGAGAAAAGCCACGAACTTAACTGAAAAAAAGTTAGAAATGATATTATCAGAGAGACTGTAGGAACAATACCACGCAGCAGATTCACTGAGAAACAGAAGATCAAATGAATCGGTTATCTAGTAAGAATACAGCCAGACAGCTATCAATGCAGGTGCTCCATATGAAAAGATCTGAAATGAAAGCAAGAGGCTGCTCTAGGAGAATATGGACTGATTACATTAAAGAGCTTCTACATCGACAAGAAATCTGCCCATCAAGCAATGGATTGCAAACTATTCTTCCTCCCAATGCTTAATGGCAGAAGTGGAAATTCATGATGTGGATGATGATGATTATATTGTGTTTAAAATGCCTTGTAGAAAAGAAATAACATTTTGCATGCAAGCTTAATCTCAGTCGGTAAATATGTAAAGCCAAAAGACACTTTTTATGACAATGGTGCATCAGGCATATGATTAGAGTCACAGTTTTACAGATCAGATTGGTGGGTGATGTGGTCCACATTATGCCAGCTGTTTTTACTTCCCAGGTCATTACCTGATAGCCATTTAAGACTTGGTCGACCTGGGAGCCAAGGACTATTTTGAAAATCAATGCAGATTCAAAGTCAAGACATTTAGGTTGGCAGGTAGCATTGAAACCTTATGCTACTATAGATCAGTCCATCTGTGCTGTGCTAAATCATGAGCTGGTTATATATTAATATGCCAAGTGGAAAAGCTCACAAAGGTCTGTCAGCAATGAGGGTTATGGCCACTGCCAACGTTAAGCAGAGATTGCTTCAGCTTCTGTTCCAGGAACTAGTTATTTTTCCCCTTCTACTGATTTCCTTTCGCCATTCTCACTGTCAGCCATCCAGACATGAAAGGTGCAAAATGAAGCCATGTGCATTATTTTGGCTGTGCATGCAAGGCACCTCTTGTGTAGCAATGAGATTCCTTCTGGACTTTCTAACCATGCCTCACCACAGACTGGAGGTTTCAGTACTGGTCTTATATATCTTGTTGGTTTCTGAGCTTGGAGAGGGGAAACATAGCTCTGCAGCAGCTCCTATAGACTGATGTCAGGCTGAGGAAAAAGTCCCAAAACTAACCAAATCTTTTGTGAGGTTTGAACTGGATGAACCTAGTGCTAATGCATCAAATTTAAATGTTAACATTAAGTGAATGGGAGGATTCATAACTAACTTCTTCTTCTTCTCAAGTGCTCACTAGCTGTAAGCTCCAGCAAGAAGTTCCGGTTATTCGTTCCTTTTTGGGTTTTAGTTTTGTTCCGGAGTTTGAGTTTTGCATGCACATCTATTTTACAGATCTGGCTTAATTGTAAGCAGACCGCTTGTTTCTCACCTCTTAGGCAGACGCACCCCAACTTTGGAGGAAACACCCCTAGTTAGTCACCGTCTATGACATTCTTGTTAGGGAGTCAGTGGGCCCATTCATTCACCCCCCTTCCCCCGTCCCCCACATAAAGATAACTAGCCGATCACATCTGGGATCTAAAATACAAAGCTTTATTCAATTACAGTATGTGTTTTTTTTCCTTCTAAATACTGAAATGTGCAATCTGGCACCAAGTTTTGTTCAAAGAAAGATGTGCCAGAAAGTAGTTGAGATTACAATATAAAACATTTATATGTTAATTACATTTGGTACTCATAGAGGGTAAATAGAAAGAAGTCAGTTAAAAATGACACAAGGGTTACAGTGCCATACCTCACTCTCCACTGTATGGTTGGCTTGGGGTTGCCAACACTAACACAGGGCAGTGATACATCCTCATGCCAGGACACTGTCAGGATGTCAGAGAAACTGGCAATTCTTGCAGGTGCTGGAATGAACGATTCGGCATGAAAATTCTACCCTAGTTGTATGTCTATTAAATCAGTGGATTTTAACCTTTTTCAGGTGGCTTCCCCTTTGACAATATGAAACGAAAGCCCCTTGCCCCTCTCCCACCAACTTAAATAAAAAAAAACTGAATGAACGAACGAACAAACAAACAAACTTTATTTTCGAACGAATAAACTTTATTTTCAAAGGGTTACAAATTGGGCAAGCAGGCCCGTTTGACATTCGGCCCTTCTAAGCACTCATTTTTCAGAGTACCAATGCCTGTTATCAATAATGCATGCTATGGATATAATAAAGAAATATAAATTATAGAATAATGCATACACACATCATGTGTACACAATCGTACACACTCACAAACATGTATACATACTCCTACGTTCTCATAATGCACACTCATTTACAGACATACGCAATACATACACACACGCATCTACATACATACAAAAACATAAAACACATACACATACATAGACATAAATGCACAAACAGAAAACACACACACATACATTTATGGATATACATGCACACACACATTCCATACATACACACCTATACATGCATCCATACATACACACATATACAATCACATGTACAGACACCAACATATGCCCACAACCACACATTTACACTCACATGAATACATACACCCACATACATGCATACACATACATGCATACATACACACATTTATACATACACTCACATCTTCACCTGATTAAAAAGCAGGATCAAAATAAAATCTCAAGCACTATTAACAAGAACTTGGATAAAAAAATCCACATTTATCAAAGTGTCTAATAACATAACGTCTTTGGCTTTTTGTTTTACAAATAGTTCATTTAAAAAATGTTGTTAAATGTTTTATTAAACTGAACAAAAATATTAGTATAAATGATTATTATAAACCCAACTAAATATTTTTTTACACCTGCTTCCCGGGCTTCCTAGATGAAAAATCACTGTGCTAAATGGTAGTGAAAGATTCAAAGATAAAACATCTACCCCCCCTCCCCCCACCATAGTCAAGGATAATTCTTCTATTTCTTAAGGTGCATAGGGCATCTAATGTTAGCCGTATAGCATCTGTTACTCAGTGAATGATGCTGTTAGAATCATACACCATTAACTTTCACTTCCCAGGATGATTCCAGGTGAGAACCAGGATAGCATAGTGTCTAGATGCTTTCCTATGAGAACCAGGAAAGCATAGTGTCTAAATGCTTTTCTATGAGAACCAGGAAAGCATAGTGTCTAGATGCTTTCCTATGAGAACCAGGATAGCATAGTGTCTAGATGCTTTCCTATGAGAACCAGGGTAGCATAGTGTCTAGATGCTTTCCTATGAGAACCAGGATAGCATAGTGTCTAGATGCTTTCCTATGAGAACCAGGAAAGCATAGTGTCTAGATGCATTCTTATGAGAACCAGGATAGCATAGTGTCTAGATGCTTTCCTACCAGTCAAAATGTCGTGGATTTGAATTTTCGCCACATGGATTTAAGAGAAAAAAAAACAACAACAATAATTGACTTTGGATCCCAGGTTCACCAAGTCTATAATTGGTACCGAGGACTATCCAGGGAAGTAAAACTGGGTGGGGTGATGCTGCCGACATCTCCACCAACTGCCTATTGGTTTATAAAAATATGGGTCTAGCATTATACGCTTAACTCTTTGAGACCCAGAGGGTTTAGCATCACAGGCCAAACGGGTAGTCAAGAAGGACGTAAAATCGGCGCATCTTGCATTCATTGCTCTTCTAGGTAGGAATCTATGAACGTATGATGCGTTCCTTGGGACTCAAAGAGTTAATGTGTCACTGGCGTAATTAAAAAAAAAAAATAACAACTGAAAACAAATAAATAAATAATAAAACAAAAAGGTCCATTACTTTGCTACTTTACTTATAATGCCTGCTACCCACATTGGGCTGAGTCAAACCTGACAGCCCAGATCAATTTAAAATTCTCTGTGTGTGGATTTTGGGGCACCACTATGGGGAAAACAAGAACAGACCAACTGCGTCCCCAACAGACAGGTTGTAGGAGTTGACTAACTGGGAGCATCCTCCAAAGTCGGACAGTCTGCATACCAAAAAGCAAGATCTGTAAAACAGACCTACATGCAACACAGGTTCTGGAAAAGACTAAAGTCTGTGGGTGAAGAACCAGAACTTTCCACCAGAGTTTACAGCCGGTGAACGCTGAGAAGTAGAATTTAAAATTCTCCAATTGTGGGTTTTAGGGTCCAGTTGGGGGGGGGGGGGGGGGAAGAGGGAGGGGAGGGGGGGGGGGGGGAGAACAGACACCCCCCCCCCCCAACAAACATGTCATATAGTACAACTAATTAGGGGTGCTGCCTTCAGTGTTGGAGTACGAGTCTACCTGATATCCAAGGAACCAACAGTCTGTACACAAATAAGCAGATCTGTAAAAGAGATGTTAACGTAAAACTAAAGTTTTCAAAGACCAAAGTCAAGAAACTGATGAACAACTAGAACTTTCCACTAGAGTTTACAGCTGATGAAAATGAAGAAAAAGAAGAATTTCTTTTTAATTCACCTTAATGGGAAAATTCAAACTTATGACCACTAAGGCAGGAAGCGAACAAGCTAGCTACTGCATTACAGTAGTTCCCAAAATGATAACAGGTGGTTTGTTATTGGCATTCACAGAAGGTAGGTGGAGAGAAGTGAATATTAATGAACAAATTCATCATTACTTTCTCAGATTCTCTGTTATCTCACATTGCCCTTTCTCGTGTTTGTCATTCACCTATCCTGGTGTGGGTTCCACCCCCCCCCCCCCGCCTTTTTTTTTAAAATGGAAAAGAGGGGGGTGGTGAGGGAGGAATAGACTCACTGTCTAGCTATAAACCACCTCACATTGTACCAATCCCCTCTTTAAGGACAAACAAAGAAGAAGTAGAAGTCATCCACATGCACACACATCTTCTCTATCTCTCACATAATAAGTTTCTTTAACTCTCTTTCTCTCCATCACTATCTCCCTATCTCTCTCTCATGCCTTCTCTCACATTCTATCTCTTGTTCCCCATTTCCCATATTCTTTTCCTCTCACACACGATTCTTACAGTGTTACCACACACAAACACAACCACACATACACATCACCAGTACAAAGATAACTTACCGACAATAAGCGTTGTGGCCCCAATATACTTGCTACTCCGCCCCTCTCCCATCACTGTAGAAGCGGATGCCCTAAAAGCGTAGTCAGCCCCACGGGATAGACCCCCCATCATGTAGTGGGTGACATTTGGGGGCAGCTCAATGACAATATCCTCAACCTGCAAAATGCATTATGTATAATTTGTACACTTTCTGTTCCAACAATACATCAAACTTAATTGGATATTCTTTATGTGTACAATTTTATCATGTGTGATTGGCTGCTGTTGATAAGTACTAATTGTCTTCTTCTTCTTTGCTTCCTCTTTTACTGCTCCAGATGGCGAGGGAGATTTATAATGTTCTGCTTCTTGCTTTTTTGGCCACCTGGACTACAGAAATTCATGTTGTTGTAGAGTTCTCTATCAGGACGCGTTCGCGCAGTCGATAGGAGACTCGCTTTCAAATCCAACTGCGACTCACTGCAGCCCACGTCCTGTGTTCAAAACTGAGCAGTTCCCGGGGTTCATCCAGCCTCTAGGTAATGGGTACCAGAGTTAACACTCTATGGTAAATAAAGGAACGTCACTGTAGCTACACACTTGGGTGTGGACGGCGACACAGGCAGACAGTTTCTTATCAGATAAGACACCACTGAGTTATAAATGGCCTGATCAGTACTAACTAACCTATAATATGTGAGATTGGCTGGTTTTCACTAGCACTAATTAGCATATGTGTAATTAGTTATTCTTCATATATCTTCAAATGGACCTGCCACGTGGGGCTGGCTTTAAAAAAAACATTTTTATGTGTACCAAACAACTCGTCTACAATACTCTGAGAGGCTTTTGGTGGGACCAGTAGCGTAGCAAGATCAGGAGTTACCAGCTGTGGTCAATTTCCTGTCCTGTCCCTCCCCTCCCCCAAAAACATTTAAAAAATTTTAAAAACACATATTTTTCCCATTTTCACCGCCTCAGTGATGATACTCGAGGCAGCCCCAAACCTCCTTCCTATGTCACTTCATGTGAGTGACTCACCATGGAAAGCAGAAAATTCATAAGCTTGACTGAAAAACTAAATGCTCTAAGACAGTCAAGATGGTTAGATAAATCAAATAATGAGACTGAAAGTGCAGCGAACAAAAAATGAAATGGCAAAGCCAGACAGAAGTACTATACATGATACATGGAGAGTAATCAAAATTGTAAAGCAAAACAAAATTGGAGTCGCAAGTCACCTAATTCTGAAGGATACAGTGGGAAAGGGATCCAAGCTCTTATAACATAAAGGTTTTAAGTGCGGTGAGCATGTTAACTAATTAATTAACTAACAAACCAAATACCTACCTACCTTACTAACTAACTAACTAGTCTGGCACCTTTCCGTCTCTCCAGACGATAGTGTTATATTGCGCTATGAGAAGGTATGGGACTCGCAGCCCATGGCGATCGCGAGTGTAACTAGCAAGACACAAAGCCTGGACAGTACTGTAGAGTCCATAAGTTGCCCATACATCATGATCCCTCCCTCGACCTGCCTTGTTTGCTCCAAAGAAAAGGTAACACCAGTATTTTGGGAACCAACTAACTGACTAAAGTACTAACCATCAAGCTGGCTGGCTGACTGCACATTAACTAAAAGACTGCCTGGCTAAGTGGTTACCTATAAGGGACGAAAAGATATTCTTAGCTTACCTCAGGAGAGCTTTGATTGTTGAAGTACAGTGTGTACTTGGTAAGGATGCCATTAGGTCTTGCAGGCGGGGTCCAGGACACCATGACAGCGCTGTCGTTAGTTGCCAAAGCTTTGATATTAGCTGGGGCATCAGGCACTAAAGGTAAAGAAAAACATCACAAAGCTTTTTTTTTAATCAAGCATATAAATACTATAGAGTTTAACAACTCCATGTATACATTATTTTATCTTCTTCTCCCTCACCTTTATTTGCTCTTAACTCTTTGAGTCCAAGGGGGTTTAGCATCACAGGCCCAAGAGGTAGTCAAGAGAGACGTAAAATCAGCGCATCATGCGTTCATTGAGCCTCTAGGTAGGAATCTATGAACGTATGATGCGTTCCTTGGGACTCAAAGAGTTAAAGAAGTGGCTTTCATATTGTGTTGTGATTTAAGATAACTGTGATATCTGCACATATCACCCTAAAACATCAGATTTCAGCAAACCCCTAGTAGTTGCCTTTTAAGATATGCTTGTTGTGAGGTTGTGGATCGATTCTTTCTTCCCCCAGGAGATTATCAAAGTTGATTACCATTGTGTTGTGATTTAAGATGGCTGCGATATCTGCACATATCAGCCTAAATTATCAGATTTAAGCAAACCCCTAGTAGTCGCCTTTTAGGACATGCTTGTTGTGAGGTTGTGGATCGATTCTTTCTTCCCCCAGGAGATTATCAAAGTTTACCAGCCTCAATTCTGGAGTCCCAACATTTTAGAAACTTCTCTTAAAAAGTCCCTGGTAAATTAAAGATTAGGCCATATCTTAGAACATGATGACAGATGGCAATCCTAACTATTGTACTGTATGAAAAGAAGAAGCTCAGGTACTGCTGCATTAACAACAGCATCAATTTACTTCTTCTCATTTTGTCAATATATGCTCTCAGTCGCTAGGCCAAGCAGCTTAACATATGATCAGTAACCAAACTAGAGTGGGCTTTGTTGCTTGGTAGGCTGTGATATTATGGAGGCTTAGACTGTCAGTGACTCCTTCAATCCATATCTTGTAGGTCTTCCTCTGCCTCTTGATTTTCTTTTCATGGTGTATGCTCTCACTGCATATCATCCTCTCTGATTATTACATACCATCTTCCTTGATTATAAAAGATCTTTCATGAATGTGATACACCCCATTCTTGATTCTAACACACCATTATTCCTAATTCTAAGGAACAATCTTCCCTGATTTGGACTCATCAGCATTTTCAGTTAATTATAGAACACCCTATTCCAAGATTAAAACATATCTCTTCCCCAGATAAACAGCATACAATTTTCTCAGACAAACATACACAAAAGCACTGGAAAAGTGCATAAGAAAATCTTTACATCTCCCTCCTCCCCTGCCGAACCCCCCCCCCCCCCCCCCCTCGCCAAACACTTCAATGAAGTACGATTTTATGTTGTCTAGAGTGTCCTTCTATCTTTCTAATTTTTTCGATGAGTGCCGGTCAATACATTGTTTGTTTATTATATATATATATAAATATATATATATATATATATACATAATATATATACATATATATATAAAATTTATAGCATACAATTTCCCCAGATCTATACCTTTCAATCTTCCCAAATTTAAAACACACTCTTCTCAGATTAAGCACACTCTCCCAGATCTATTACATACCATCTTCCCTGGTCCTAACATAGACTGGAAAACTTCTGACTCCCTCTCCCTTTCTGGTATAGGCAAGGACTTGGATGCTATAGTTAGTGTACTTTTCCAGGGCAAACAATACAATCTCCAACTGGGATGAAGTCTGGAAATTGGCATCACTCTCATCTGAAACAGTAGAAACATTTGTAACGCTGGCAATGGAACACAGTAGAAGCATTTGTAACACTGGAAAGGGAAATTACCAGTGTAGTGTTGTTTACCCTGCTATCACTTCATTCTAGGGCTCAGATATGCAAATAATAAGTTCCTCCTCACAGAGAGATTATCTTCTTCTTCTTCTTCTGCATTTGACACAAATTGGGTCCTAGAATTCAAGGGGAAATTCCATGGTTAAAACACAGTGTCTCTCACACCCTAAATGTGGTCCTGAAATTCAAGGGGAAATTCCATGGTTAAAACACAGTGTCTTTCACACCCTAAATGTGGTCCTAGAATACACATGAAAATTACATGATTATAACATACCCACTCTTCTCTCCAAACATTCTAACATCCATGTATTGCAAAAAAAAAAAAAAACTGCACGCACACAAACAAATAATCTTTGCTTCTTCTACACAATATTTTTTATGATTGTAAACACTGTAAATGCGGCGTCCGTGGCTAAGGCGTTGCGAGTCCGACTCGTAAGCCAGCATACCGCGATCGAAACACACTGCAGGCTGCGTGGATTTTTGTCGCGGTATGGGACATCACAGGTCGACCCAGCCTAAAATGGGTACCAGGATGGGCTGTCCTGGGAAAGTAAAGACAGCCGGCGTAATGCTGACCACATTACCCACAGAGTGCTGATGGTCTGTAAAAATATGGGACGCTCTGCCCATATGCCCAATGCGCCGAAAGGCATGAAAAGGGAACTTTACTTTTTACTTTTTAAACACTGTAAACAGATAATATTTTCTTGTTATAACATATCCTCTCTCGTTACAACATATTATTATTGATTGTAACACAGCACAATGGCTGATTTTGCCATGGTTTGCTATTGCATTTTCCCTATATGCGGACCCAAAGTACTTGGTTCCATAACCTGGCTACTGAGTTGAGTACTTGGTGTGACACTGTGAGCTGTGGATTGCCTTTCAGCTCTGCTAAAAGTGGTACGTATTCTGAATGTGCAGGTTTGTTGCTACAGAACTGGTAGTGCTTTTTTTGGAACAATGCATGTGAAACTTTTGATCTGTTGTAACTGTTGCTCCTGCTATCAAAAATGAAATACAATTCTAATGGTAGTTGTTTGTGCTGGTATTTCTGGTGGCTGCCTTATGCATTTAAAGCAGGTGTATGCTGCTGGCTTTGCCAAGACTGCAATCCATTTCCATTTAATTTCCTAAGGGTCAGTGTTAGACATTCTGTGTGGTTGTTTCTGATCAAGGAAGGGAGGAATTATTGAGGACTCGTTTGCAAAGAAGTTAGAAATCCAACTAACTGACGATTCCCTTATTTTAGCATATTATTTTCCCTCACTGAACATGCAGCTTTTTTTCAGTTATAGAATATCTTTTCTGCCTCTACACACCAATTCCCTATTCTATTAACATGTCCCATTATTTTATTTTTATTTTCCATATGGTTTTGATGAGTGATCAAATAACACAAGCAGCTGTCAAATCCCAAGTATTTGTTTAATGTCTCTAACAATATTTTATTTACTATATTTTATTTCTGTTGTGGTATATAGTCAGCTCTGTGGCTAAGTCGATGCAAACACTTTGTAATGCCAGGATGCCGGGTTCGATCCCAGCTGCGGGCCTTGCGCTGGTTTAGAGAAAGCTGACCGTACAGAAAGCAATGGCAAACTACTGGACGTAAATTTGCCTAGAAAAACCACACAACAGCCAAGGGCTGTTGGGGTTGGTTCTGCAACGTCCTGTAAAGGTTACGCAACTAATCTGTGGTTTATATGTTACATAGAGCTCATAGGCTATTCCTCCATTCCATCCCATCCTGAGGCAATCCTTTCAGGATCACGGATGTAATCCATTCCAGCACCCTTGACCTCTCTCATTAATGTTCATTTTAAAGTTTCTATTAGGCATCATGATTTGGTTTCCGTTTCAGTGCCTGTCTGGCGGTCTCTACACTTGCTTATTCTTAATATATGCACTATCTTCTTTGTCTTATAACTGTTGATACAAGTGTTAAAAAAAAAACATTTAGCTCTTTATTATTACTGATTTCATTCAATGTTTATCAGTTTCATCATGTTTTTGTTTTTTAAATGCATTTATCTTTCAATCCAAGTCTTTAGTGGTTTTCCAACTTTATACTGACATAGGCTTTAAAAGTGAACAATTTTTATTCCAAATTTTTTTATCAACAATATTCTTTTAAAAACCTTAAACTAAAGTGCTTCTGGTTTTTACACCGTTTCAGTGCTCACTGTTCTGCATTTAGCATACATACAGGAAAACAGGACTACTAACATAGGCAGCGGTGCTAGATTGGAGAGTGCTGAAACATGGATAGGTAGAAACTCAATCATAAGGTTACAGAGGGAAAGATAAAAGACTAAATTGCAAGGTTAAAAATTGAAAGATAGAAACTAAATAATAAGGATAAGGATGGAAAGTTTTTAAAAAAAATGGTTAAAGATAAGATGATAAAAATGTTAAATCATAAGTGTGGACATGGAAAGGTAAAGAAACTAAATCACAGGTTAAACATATTCTGAAAAAAAAAGTAAACCAGGAAGGCGAATAAGACCAGGTAAAAAAAATAAAAAAATTGGGTTTTTTTTAAATTGGAAAACATGTATACCTTCATCCAACCTGACAGGCTTGTAAAGAATCTTGTAGCCCTGTAGAATTCCGTGTAATGTGAACAATGGAGGGGGTGACCAAGCCACCTTGATGCTCTCGGAGCTCAGTGGGGTTGCCTGGACTCCTTCTGGTGGTTGGCTGGGAACTGGAAGTCAACAAACACACAATGTTAATTATGATGCAGTGTATATGTTGTGTGGCTACTACTGCTTGTATTTACCACTTTTGCAGTGAAGGTAGGGTGGCCTTTAAGCCTGAGTATTTAGGGCTACATAGCTACATAGACACAACGTTTTGGGTTTTGTGTGTGTGTGTGTGTGTGTGTGTGCCCCTGACAGAAAAAAATCCTAAACTTTACCAACCAGATAGATTGACTGTTGCCACTCCTATGGGCGGTAAGCTACACAGATAGATTGGCTGCTGCCACTTCTCTGGGTGGTGATCTACACAGATAGAGTGGTTGCTGCCACTCCTTTGGGTGGTGAGCCACACAGATAGATTGGCTGCTGCCACTCCTCTGGGTGGTGAGCTACACAGATATATTGGCTGCTGCCAGTCCTCTGGCTGGTGAGCTACACAGATAGATAGGCTGCTGCCTCTCTCTGGGTGGTGAGCTACACAGATAGAGTGGATGCTGCCACTCCTCTGGGTGGTAAGCTACACAGATAGATTGGCTGCTGCCACTCCTCTGGGTGGTAAGCTACAGAGATAGATTGGCTGCTGCCACTTTTCTGAGTGGTAGGCTACACAGATAGATTGGCTGCTGCCACTCCTCTGGGTGGTGAGCTACATAATGATAAAGCAGACGTTGTCAAGGCTCTCTGGGATCAAATGAGCAGTGCAGTAGAAAACAGAGAATCCACACACACACAAAATATTGTGGAGGTGAGTAGAGGTTCTGGAAGATATTCAGCACTGAAAGGGAAACAGAGGGAGACTTGTAATCAGGTTACAACTGGTACAACTAGCATGTTGAATCTTTGATGGCTACTGAGGAAGGGGATGGAGAACATGTGGGAATGTCCCGAGTGCAGTGATGTCAATTCTTCATTCATTCACTCCCTAAAGTATTTCAGGATTCTCGCCGGCCCTACGGAGTTCATGCACTGCACTGAGATTCTTCAGACTCAGGCTTGAGTTAGAAGTAAAACGGAGCCCTTATGGGTTACTACCCTTGTACCATGATGTTGATCCATTGTATAAACCATAATCATAAACCATTTATTCATTTATTCACTGTGGAAGTGATTGGGGCCTCACTTCATAATATTCCCAAAGACAACAGTGGGTGCCATGTTACCAGCCTTCACCGTGGAGATAGCACACAATTTAATACATATAAACACACACATCTGAGGGGGAAACAAATCACATTGAAAAGATTTGACTCACCATCTTCCAGAGTGAAGACATTGAGGTTTGCTGAGGCCGGACTGATGCCCTTGATGTTGTACGCTTTGACATGGACAGTGTACTGTGTGAACTTCTTCAGTTTGCTGATGGTGTGTTCGGCCCGGGAGTTGGTGGAACTGGTTTGAACCTCATGGGTTTCATAAATAAACTGTGCTGGGCTCTGAGTTTCCTTGTAGCCGATGTAGTATCCCAGGATTTTTCCATTTTGGAAGCCAAGTAGGGGTGGCTAGAATAAAGAAAGTTGAATGTATCATCAATTGTCATGTGAGTGATTCTGTAGCAGGGGACTAATCACACTTCTGAGGGTGATATATCTATACTATAAAACGGCAAATTCATGTGTCTGTCTGTCACAAGAACTCCTCCCAAACGGAGAACAGCAGTAATGTGAAATTCACATATGTCATTCTCGCTTTTCAATTTCTAGATCAACTGTACTATTTCAACATGTTTTTGTACATCAGGTGGGCCACCAAACAATCTCCCCTGTTCTGGTGGATGACTAGAATAAAGATGGGCTCGACAATATTTGTCAATAGATAAAACCTCTACAGACTAGACTATATTTATGTAAATATCTAGACTGCAGGCAAACTAGGCTTTATCTGTCTGTAGATAATCAGACTACAGACAGACCAGACTATCAGTCTATAGATATCTAGACAATAAACAGACTAGACTCTATCTGTCTATGGATGTCTAGACTACAGATAGAATAGACTTTATCTGTCTACAGATATCTACACTACAGACAGACTAGACTGTGCCTCCTCAGAATGATACACACTCACAAATTATTCTCACCAAACAAGATATGACCTACCTCCCACATAACCTTGAGAGCCTGAGAGCCAATAGCTTGTACGGTGACTCTGTCTGGAGGTCCAGTTGGAGCTATGTGAAGAATCAAAAATTTTTCATATAAAGTTAGAACACAAGAAAACATGAGTTATATCTGCCACATTTTTAGACTTAGATTCTTTCATAATAACCTAGCCCAGATGACGTCACAGGACAGTCCAACATTTTAGAGGGTGGTAAGACTGGGTTTTCCAGCTTTTTTCTGATGCTTTTAATGACCAAAACACATCTAGAAATGGCCCTAACCCTAATCCACCTACGTCTCATGAGAGAGTGCAGCCTAGGTCCCACAACTGCATAAAGCCTAGGTCCCATGACTGCATGCAGCCTATCTACCACCCCCTGAAATATTAGACTGTCCCGTGACCTGTGGATTTCCCCTATTTGGGGTAGGATATTAAGAAAGCACCGAAACTTATAACAAAAATTTAATGTTTACACAATTTTTGCCACAAACGACAGCAACATCAACGAAAACCTGTAAAAGTTAAAATAAAATGCAATTACACATGGAAATGTAGTCTGTTATCAGAATAATTTTCATTTTAATTATATTAATAATAAATTTCTAATAAAAAAAAATAATAATTATAATAATATCAAACTAATATAATCATATAAATTTCTTCCATGTAAAATAATTTCAGTATTGAAATAATACATACAATATGTCTGGCTTCTACACTTGTTAACCACATTCACTGAGTGTTTAGTTTCTTTGAATTAATGCATTTATGATTTGTCTACAGTGGTTAGTTTTCTTAATTTCCCCCCTCTCTCCCTGCCCTACCTTAGAAAGTGCTGCAACTTGAAGATATAACAGAGAAAAATTCCAGATATTCTGTTCAACAACAACAACAAAAACTAACTATACTGAGGCATCCTACAGTCCTGTTGTCCTATGTGGGCAAGAAATGTAGTATTAAGACCACCTTCACATCATCGCCATCAAGTGTCCTGCCTAGTCAGTCATGCCTCTCTACAATCTGTGATCTCCAACCACATAGCAAATGTGGTTATTTTCTTGCCATTGACATCAGCTGTGCATCAGATGAAAAAAGTTCCAGGCCAGAAAACATTAAAGATCACAACACATAACGGTACCTTCTTCCTCTGTTTTAGCCTCCACGATCTCACTGGGGTCACTGTAGCCGACAGAGTTGTTGGCCAGCACCCTGATATGGTAGGTAAAAGATGGCAGCAGGTTGGGCAAGAATGCTTGCTGCTGGGAGGCGGTTATGCTGATGTTTGGAAGCACTCCCTGCCATATTTCTGTGGACAGTATTTGGTAATATGTCAACATATTATGATTTTTATAACTGCATTTCATTTTATACTGAATAATTATATAATGCTGTTTCATACATCAATATTATATTGATAATTTCAACACAATTTCACCAAAATGTTGCATGTATGATATTTTATTTTAATTTCAACTGGCAACAAGAGGCCATTTTTACAGTGTATTTAAGCCATTCAGATGCAGAAAGCTTTTGTACAAGCAAGATTAAACAAAGGTCAACAAAGCCGACTGTACACATATCTCACCTGTGCTATTTTTGTACTGTACAGTATACCCAACGATGTCACTGTTGCCATCAAAGGGCCTCACCCAGGTGATGAAAATGCCTCGGCTGGTCACGTTTACTACTTCAATTTTGCCAGGAGGTTCCGGAGGTTCTGGGGGGCACAAACAGCACATTAACGTAAACAAAAATAACAGTGTTGGAATAAATATCAACAGTGACAAAAAAAAAAAAAAAGAGATGACAGAAAAAAGAGATGGCTAAATAAAACAAGATAATGGCTGTACTGTTGGGTGACAGTAGTAAAGATACTGAAGAAAGACCTAGTGTCTCTAACAGCAGGGGAAGCAAGCAATGATTTGAAGTTAAAAAGTGAAATACTGTAGCACAGTAGGCTTGGAATTATCTGTGTGTGTTCTGGTGCTCCAATTTGGGGGAACAAATAATAGGTCCACTGCCTCCTAGCAAGCGTATTGTGAAAGGCAACTAATTAGGGATGTTTTCTTTAAAGATGGACTGTGTGTGCCTGAGAGGAGAGGAGCCAACAGTTTACGTACAAATAAGCCAGATCTGTAAAAGAAATATGTATCCAAAACTCAAATTCTGGCAGAGAAGAAGAGGCACAGATGAATAAGATGACACAGTAATGACATAAACACCCACAGAGATAAAATGAACAACAACAGAGATGACATTCAACATCCCAGATGACACACAACAACAGAGATGACATTCAACATCCCAGATGACACAAACACCTACAGAGGTTACATGAACAGCAACAGAGATGACATAAACAACATCTCACATGACATAAACAACAGCAGAGATGACACAAACAATATCACAGATGCAGATGACATAACAACAAAGATGACACGAACAACAATACAGATGACATAAACCAACACCCCAGATGATAAAACAGCAGAGGTGATACAAACAACAGCAGAGATGATGCAAACCACATCAGAAGTGAAATAAACAACAGCAGGAATGACACAAACAACTAAAGAGATTATATAAACAACAGCAGACATGACAAACAACATTAGGGGTGACAGCAGAGATGACATAAACAACAGCAGAGATGACATAAAAAACACCAGAGATGACATAAACACCAGAGATGACATAAACACCAGAGATCACATAAACAACATCATGGATGACACAAATGGTGATGAAATAAACACCAGCAGTGATGTCATAAACAGTAAAGATGATATTAATATCAACAACCACTCACCATGCACAATCAGATAGTTTAAAAGCACAGCACTGCCAAACTTATTTTTAGCATTACATGTGTAGGCACCCGAATCATCCCGGGTGGTTGGGTTCAGGGTCAGCTGGGATAGTTTTCCCCGAGGAGTTAACTGGGACACTATGTCGGCCCTAAGAATAAAGAAGATCTTTATAACAATGAGAAAAAGAAAATAGCAATAATTACCACCACATCAAAACTCAACAAAGCAAAAACTAAACAACCCTTTTTCCGACAGTAATGCATTAGGCATGCAGTACTAGACCCAGTGGAAATCAACAGGTGGGGATATTTCCTGGTACCTATTTAGGCTGGGTCAATTTGGGAGCCTGTGGTCAATTTAAAAAAAAAAAAATTCCACCTCAGTGCAGATTTGAACCTAAGTCCTTTGGGTCAGCTGACAAGCATCTAGCGACTGCATACCATGGAACCTACAAAATTTAGTTTTTTTTGCTTGCAAGAGTTCCAATAGGATTTTAGACTGCTTGACTGCATAGTGACCAACTGGTAAAACTTCATTTGCTTGAGTCCAGACTTGTAATTGACAGGGACTGTACATTCCATACTACTGACCACACACACCGAACAGGAGATTGCTGAAACTGGTGGAAGCTTTATTAATTAGAACAAACAATTCCACTTTGTGCAAGCAGAAGGAACTGGCGTGGTAAACCACATGAATATCTTTATCTTCAGTGACATGGTGAACAATGTATTGATAGAAACATTGCGATTTGTGTATTTCAGTGGAGAGAATTCAATTTTGTGTGTGTGCTTCATTATATGTTGTTGTAACACTGGAGGAATGCACCTGATGAAAAAAACCGAAATATAACTTGCAATGAATTGTGCAATATATTGTTTGTGTCCACAATATTGAAATTCAGGACAAGAATTCACTATTTTGACATTCTTAAATGTCACTTTAATATGAACCACATCACCTACACAGTGGCCATTAGTCTAACAATAATTCACAAGCACCATATATCCAGTTTGTATTATAACTTTGCCTATGTCTGTGACATGTGAATTGTGAATTGAAGTATCAAACACTAGCACCATATATCCAATTGGTACTATTACTTTGCCTACGTCTGTGACATTTAAACTGTGAATTGAAGTATCAAACACTAGCACCATATATCCAATTGGTACTATTACTTTGCCTACGTCTGTGACATTTAAACTGTGAATTGGAGTACCTGTCATTGCTGTGAGAGCTGATGGGAGCCCCTTGGAAACTCCAGGAGATGGACAAGGGCTTGTCCCCGACCGCTTGACATTCCATGGTGATGCTCTGACCCTTCATGACAGTGTAGTTGTGTCTGGGTTCATTGAAACGGGCAGGAACTGAAGAGAAAGGTTAACCAGAAAAATTAACAACAGAAACATGTACAAACTTGAAGAAGGCAAGAAACATAAATATTATAAATAGATGTCAGGATACCAAGTGTGAACAGAAATGGGTGGAAACAGGAAGGCATTTGACTGATGACTAATGTAACAAAGTGACGAACATCACCGAGTGACTGATGTAACAAAGTGACTGATGTAACAAAGTGACAAACATCAACGAGTGACTGATGTAACAAAGTGACAAACATCAGTGAGTGACTGATGTAACAAAGTGACAAACATCAATGACAGAAGCACACAATGGACGTCTAACTTACTGTGAATGTTCAGATGGATGACTTTGCTGATGTCGAACCCAACCCCGTTGCTGGCATGGCACAGGTAGTAGCCGTGGTCCTCTTCTCTGGCATTCTTGATGGTCAAGGTTCCGTTGGGGAAGAGCTCCCGGTGGTCTCCCGTCAGGGCAAAAGTCAGCTGCTGGTAGTTCCCTGGGCTCTGACCTGAGAAGACAAGTTTGTGGGTGTTCATAATTATAAATCTGATCTTGTGGTGATAGAGGTTTATGATGCAGTTAATGAGTGAGGCTGATATTTGTAGTTAATGAGTGAGGCTGATATTTGTAGTTAATGAGTGAGGCTGATATTTGTAGTTAATGAGTGAGGCCGATATTTGTAGTTAATGAGTGAGGCTGATATTTGTAGTTAATGAGTGAGGCTGATATTTGTAGTTAATGAGTGAGGCTGATATTTGTAGTTAATGAGTGAGGCTGATATTTGTAGTTAATGAGTGAGGCTGATATTTGTAGTTAATGAGTGAGGCTGATTTTTGTAGTTAATGAGTGAGGCTGATATTTGTAGTTAATGAGTGAGGCTGATATTTGTAGTTAATGAGTGAGGCCGATATTTGTAGTTAATGAGTGAGGCTGATATTTGTAGTTAATGAGTGAGGCTGATATTTGTAGTTAATGAGTGAGGCTGATATTTGTAGTTAATGAGTGAGGCTGATATTTGTAGTAATTGAGTGAGGCTGATATTTGTAGTTAATGAGTGAGGCTGATATTTGTAGTTAATGAGTGAGGCTGATATTTTTAGTTAATGAGTGAGGCTGATATTTTTAGTTAATGAGTGAGGCTGATATTTTTAGTTAATGAGTGAGGCTGATATTTGTAGTTAATGAGTGAGGCTGATATTTGTAGTTAATGAGTGAGGCTGATATTTGTAGTTAAAGAGTGAGGCTGATATTTGTAGCTCATGAAACTCTTCATCTGCATAATTCTTCCCCCTGAGATCCATCTTAACCCTTCTGCTCTGAGAAGGTTACATCTAGTAGCCTTGTTCAGTTGTGACTTGACCTTGTAAAAGCCGATATATTACCACTTCTGCAGTGACCTGTTCTCAGAAAGCATAGTTAAATGCCACTGGTTCTTTGTGCACCTGTGTAGTGTTTTGAAGGCCTGGATGTGAATACAGTAACTGAAAATAGCACTGGGGAAAAAAAAAAGCGGGGGGGGGGGGGGGGGTGGGGGGTGGGGGGGGGGGGGGAGGGGGGGGGGGCCGGGCGGGGGGGGGGGGAGGGGGGGTGGGGGGGGGGTAAAGAGGCTTCCTTATTAATTTAATCGTTTTTAGAAGCAAACCTGGAGTCAAGTTTTCCTGTAAGCCTCAGTGAAAAAGGTCACAGGGTCACAGTATGAGTCTCCCAATACACATGTTTTTTTTTCAACCCACCTACATATATATTCACCTATTTCCTCATTTACAGAAGTTTCCATTTCTCCACCATTAACACAATGAATCATACACTTACCTATTCACTCATAACTTTTCTGCACTGACGTGTCCATACATGACCTGTGTCAATGTCCATACGTGACCTGTGTCAATGTTCATATGTGACCTGTGTCAATGTCCATACATGACCTGTGTCAATGTCCATACATGACCTGTGTCAATGTCCATACATGACCTGTGTCAATGTCCATACATGACCTGTGTCGATGTTCATGCATGACCTGTGTCAACTAATTTTATCCTACACTCATCATTATGAATCAGCAAGTTCTTCATAGAAATTCTCATCATCACGGCACAGCTGAAAGTCTCATTATCTTCTGCCCTTGGCACCTTCATCATCTTCATCTTAAATGCCCATGCCATGTGGTGTTGCTAGTCATGTCTATCCACAATCTACTGTCTTTGGTACTTTCAATCAACTCTGATACAGATGATTCTCCATGCCATGATATCAAACTGTCCAGCATCTTTTCTCTCAGTCTCCCTCAGCTTCTCTTCCCTTCCAACTTTCTTACTGTCACGATGTACTCCAGTTTTCTCCTTCTCATCACATGATGAAAGAATGTAGATTGTCTCTTTGCACCTTTAGAGCCAATACATTTTCAATGTCCTGTATCAACCTTTGTGAGAGGTGACTCATACCTTTAAAATGATTATGACCTTTCTTCTGCTGTAAGGCAGAGAATCCTGGGATTTCATCAAAGAAATCAAAAACAGGTTGCAGACACTGAATGAATGGATCCTGTATATGGCTAGCAGCTTGGACAGTCAGAGTAACAATAACTGCCTGGAAGAGATTCTTCTTTAGCTACTAAGGAAAGGAATGCACACAAGTGGCAGTTGGGAATTTCCCAAGCGCACTATTATTGATTCTTGATTCATTCTACATATCCAATAAAAGAAGAACATTAGAATAAGGAAAAAAATGCTCTCCGGTTATGGGATGAGATGACAGGTGTTCTAGAGCACTGTGACAACTAAAAAGATCCGTGGTTAAAGACATAGAGGCAGACTGAAAGAAATTACGCTGGATGGTCTGAAATACTGGCAAAGAGCAGGGATTTTCAACTGGCAACTTGTGGGCCTAGCAAGTGACCCATGAATCACCTCCTGTTGTATTGTCTTAATGTTTTTCTTTTCTATGCTGGAGTTCAGGCCTCTGGCTCGCGATGATCCAGTGTTTCAAAATGTTGGACCCTGTGTAAACTTAGGTGAACAGCCCTGGCACCGAGGAATATCGGCAACAGAGTTGATCCAGAAAATAAAAATCTGAGATCTATTAAGAGACATGGATATCTGTGCCACACATCATAACATAAGTTGCTCATAATGAATTAAATGATAAATTTGTAAGAGCTACCTTCAGCTTTCTTCCAGACAACCTGTGGGTCTGGAGTTCCATCTGCCTGGCAGTCCAGCTGAACTGACTCGTGCAGAATGACAAATGAATCTTCTGGTTCCATAACCCATCGTGGAGGAACTGAAATGACAAAGTTAGCATAAATAAACACTGTGAGATAACAGTAGGAATTATTTTACAAGAATGTCTTTAATATGGGATCCTCTGCACCCAACCTTAGATTCTTCGCTCTCTCAGTGAGGGAAAAGATGAGTGGAGACCTAAACATCAATCGTTTTTAAAGAATGTTCATTTCTGAGGCAGAAGCGTGGTAAAAAGAAAGGTATATTTCAAAAGCATGAGACTTGAGATTGAGTCTGCCCCTGAAGCTATGAAGAAACATATCTTATACTTCACTCAGAAAAGTGCTGACTGTTTATCATTCTCAGTCCAGGCTTAGGAAACTTCATATAGAAGGTTAGGGCATGATTGGCTACCATGTGTGGAAGCATCAAACCTTTAGGAATTTGGGTGGATTTAAGGTGATGGCGTTTTTTTGTTGGGGGCAAAAATTAATGTCCTAACCTGCATAGTCCACGGTGAAAGCACTAGCCATGAAGCCCTTAATCCTCAAACTGCTGACCACGCCCCCCCCCCCACCACCAACCCCCCCCCCTCCCCACCGCCTACATTCCCCTAAAGAATTATTATTTTCATGTCCCAATGTGGGACACAATTTTACGTTATTTCAAAGCCCCACCTCAGCTGTAGTCAGGGGCCTTATTATAACCTAACAGTGAACAGAGTGTTTCTGGGACCTGTGCCCTGGGTGATCCTCATCAGAATGGTGACACTTTGTGTCACAGGGTTTGTTCGTTCATTGCACGGTCCTGGTGGTATTGAACAACACTCATATAGTAGTGACAGTTTAATATCCAGGTAAGGTAGTGAATCATGGAGAATCAGTAGATTAGTGGTAAATGAAGTGGCAACTTGAAGTAAATTAAAATGAGAGTGACTATGACACAGTAGAAAATATTAACACAAAATAGGGTAAATGAAAGTTAACAATAATACGGTAGATAACTGTCACAATGTCATTGTTAACAGACTATATAACAGAAAAAATAAAAGGCCTGATAACAGAAACAATATCAGGCTAAGTAACAGAAACACAAACAGGCAAGATGATAGCAATAATAAAAACAATTAGAGAATGGTAAGAATAAAACTTGACAATTATTCTGATGATCAGTTCTATAGTTATTCTTCTATCTTGTACAACTGTGTCAATTTTATAGATAGGATCCAGTCCAGTCAATATAGACTCATCACTGTTCATCTTAGAATTTCTTCTGTGTGCCCTTGTCTGCTCACTCCATTTGTTTCTTATTTAAATGCTTGTTTGGTGATTCTCTGTTTCTTAACAATAATGCACACACAAAAAGAATTTGACAATAAGGTGAACAACTGGGGGAGGGCACAGAGTGAGCAACATTTGATAGCGAAGGATACGGTGAGGGCTTATGATCCACTGTTGGTTAAAGAAAGAAAGAAAGAAAGAAGAAGAACAGTTGAAAATTGAGATTTATATATATATATATAAATGAGACACACAAGTGCCAGTAACTCACCAGCGATGTGCAGGGTTGCTGTGTAGTTGACGGAGGCTGCAGCATTGCTGACATAACATGTGTAGTTCCCATCATGCTTTGGTGTCGCCCCACTTATGGACAAGATAGAGTAGTCACCAAGTTGCTGAAATGTTTTGATGATAATGGAATGTATGAACATACAAATTCAAAATAATTGTCTTTGTGATGTGAAAAAAAATTAATGACACCGGAAACATTTACGTTTATAAACAATACATCATAAACATCATTAGGAGACATCAGTTTCAAAAGCTACAGAGGGCACAAACTTTGAATTGTTATGTTACAGGAATTTAATAGAATATCTCGTTTTACAGTTTACCTTAAAAGAGCATTGGCATATTGTGTTGTATTCTGTGTCATTAACTGAAATACTTCAGCCATATTTAACATCATGTTGGTTTCGATAGAACAGATAGAAGGGAATAGGTCCTAAAAAAAAATTTTAAAAAACTTTGGGGTCAATCAGCACGAGGGAGGACACAGGACATCAAAGACACTGACGATGAAGGACTTCTTCTTCTTCTTTAGAATTTAGAGCCCTTGATACTCACTGATAGAGATATCACCCGCCTCCTTTCTTCTCTGTGACTGACATTTTTTCTCTGATTGGTGACACTAAGTGGGTTCAATTTTTACTTCAATTTTAAAATTGCTTGTGCTCTCTGGTTAGGCTTCTTACACCACATACTAGGTAGCGGGTATATTATCACTCCACCATCTTCTTGCTCAGCTTCATATCAACTCTTCTGTAGAAGCAGTTTTTATGTTGCTCTTATTTGTTAATTTTCTCTATGTCCCAGTTGCAGCAGATATATACATTCTTCAATCTTGTGGATATATGAAATATAATGTTGCACATTCATCTTAATCAATCAGGTGCAATGGATCTCCAACACTCTCTCGCCCTGGTTGTACACTGTTCATCCACCTTTTGATGTTATCTTCAAATTTGTATCAATGTCTACCTCTAGTTTGCTTCCTTGAACTTTTCTATCCAGCATGTATTTGATAATAGTATCATGTCTTTCCACGTGAATGAAACACTTTACTTTGAAGTTTCTGTCACCAGCTTTTTTCCCCCCACCACCCTTTGTGTTGGAACCTTTCCACAGATAGTGTTGTACTGGGCTATGATAAGGCATGGGGCTCATAGCCCATGGCGATGGCGACAGTGACTAGCAAGAACCGAACATATTAAGAAAAACCTTCCACTTTTAGAGCCTGAAATTGCAGGACTATTGCTGTCATCAAATGTATTTAGAAATTGCAGGACTGTTGCTGTCATCAAATGTATTTAGACTGCTTCTTCTCAGATTCTCAGCTTTCATCTTTTCTGCAATTGTTTTATTCTTTCATTTTCCTTTCTTTCCTGATTTGCTCTCTTCATGCAACACTCTATCATTCTCCATTCTTCAGGTGTGACCCAGTCACCTGAGCTTTCGGAGACTGCATATTGAGAAACCTGTATTTGAGGCATCCTATCTGCTCTTTCCAATATCTCAGTGTTTGTGATCTTGTCCTGCCACTTAATGCCAGGTATTCTTCTTAGACAATGCACTGAAAATGACAACCGCCATAGAATCTCAGTATGAAATTATTTTTGGTTTCAGGTAATAGGAGAGTTCTCTCTGTATTTTTACATCTGATCTCTTTCATGACCAAGCAGATATCTCTTTAACTCATTCTATTCTATCTAATAAGTTGTTTTTGTCAGTTATCAATTTTAGGGACTGGGGATTAAACAAATTTACACCATTAGACTTCAGAAGTTAAAGTAACATATGAGACAGAATGAGTCAATATAACAACAGGATGGGTCCCCTGTGTGGGTTCTGGGTCCCCATTGTAGGGAAAACAAGAATAGACCCACTGCCTCTCCAAAAGAATGTCATAAGAGTCGATTAATTGGGGAGCTTCCTTTGAAGTCAGAGTGCATCTGCCAGAGGGGCAAGGAACCAACAGTCTGTATTCAAGAGAATGAGATCTGTAAAACTGATGCACATGCAACACTCAGATTCTGGAGCAGTAGTGCAGTTCAGTAGTGGACGAACAACCAGAACTTTCCGCCAGAGTGTACAGCTGGTGAACGCGAAGAAGAAGAACAGGATGGGTCACAAGCAGTGCAGAAAAGAATAAATCAACTTTCTAATTGTTTGTTTATTAACTTTGTTCTGCACCATATAGCAGCGTACATAACTGATGATAATTATCATTTTTAAGGTGTTCTTTATCTCTCTATTTATTAATAATATTTTGTTATTTCATGTTCAGTTCCCGGAGCGAGGATAAACTAGATGGCTGGGACTCACGAGTAGCAGCTACCGCATCTCCTGCAGCTTCCTTCATTTTATTTGCTCGCGAGTCCCAGCCATCTAGTTTAGCCCCACTCCGCGCGAAGCGGGAGATACTCTCAGCGGTGGCGGGTATAGTCGCCCGCAAGAGGTCCGCAATTTAAATGTGACTGAGGCCCTATCACTATCAGGTTATATTTTCGGTCTCGATAATTTAGGACCATTATCATTATTCGGAGGATAGCCCAAACAATTTTTAACGTGAATATTTATTCCATAGACACGCCCACATTTCTGACAGATCGATATATTTGTAAAATACACAGACGGAGACACAAAACGACAAACATACACACCTGAATACGAATGCCTAAATCTTGTGGAATAGCTCTGCCGTCCTTCTCCCACTGGATGGTGATGGGCAGATCTCCACTGATGATCGCGCAGGTGACCAGGATTCTGTCCCCTTGCTTGCGTTGACGGAAATGGAAGGGGTCTATCACAGGAGGCTCTATCAGAGGAAAGGTCACAGATTTAGAGCCTTTTGTGTCAGTTGCGACAATGCACAGTTTCAAATTGGAAGTGGGGGTTGTATGTGAGGTAATGTAGGGGTTCAAATACTTCCTTCTCCCCCTCCTGATCTTCTTCTTCATCCTCCTCTCCCACCCCCGCCCCCTTCTTCTAGCTCATCCCCAGCTGTCCGAATCAATCCAAAGGCACCCGTTTGTAGATGTCTCTATGACCGGCTAGATTTTGCAATTTAAGCTGTCTATAGGACACCACCAACCTTCCTTGATCGCATCATACGGTATGTGTGGTAGGTGACAGTGGAACCTATTCATTGCTTCAAAAATGGGCTCCGGTATCACACTGGCACTTGTTTGTACTGAAGAGACCTTAATGTCTTTTTAGACTTTCCGCTTCTATCATTGGTAGCATTAGAGGTAGCTTGCTGGTTTTTTTCTAATGCTTTTTTTTAGCTTTTCATGTTCTACCTGTGTTTATACTGGAGGAAATTTAATTTTTTTAAAGTATCATTTCTTCTGTCGGCTCTGTGGCTAAGTCGATGCGAACGCTTCGCTTCGTAATGCCGGGATGCCAGGTCCGATCCCAGTTGCAGGCAACGCGCCTTGCGTTGGTTTCGACAGTGGTATCAAGAAAGCCGACCGTCCAGGAAGCAATGGCAAACTACTGGATGTAAATTGCCTAGAGAAACCACACATCGTCCTGTAAAGGATACGCAACTAATTTTCATCATATCTTCTACCAATGGTTGTATCTGAGGTACCTTACTGGCTACTTAGCCTTCCCTCTATTACACTTGGTTGTATTGAGGGTGTTTTAATATATTTATATAATATCCTCAGCTACCCTTGGTTATATTTGAGGTATCTTAATGTCTTTATTTAATCTTTCCTCTTCTTCCCTTTCAACGCAAATTGGTCACGCCGTTTGCTTCAACCTCTGAAGGTCTTGGGGTTGTTTTATGGCTGCGCCATTCAGTTCACGTGTAAATTTTATCAGAAATCACTGGGATGCTCACCGGAGCTACGGATGTCGTGCTTTAAGCGAGGCCTCCAATAGACAGCTATCCGTTCCTTAGTGAGAGACTCAAACCATATGGGGTAAAACCTTGTGTAATACAGTCGAGCCTCTCGCCGTGAGCTTCAACTGTGTTAAAGATACCTGTGAGTTTCTTCCCCTGTTCCCATTTTTGACAGCCATACTTATATCTCACACATTTCTGCAGCAGCGGCGCCCCAGAACTTACACGACATGTTACCAATGACAACAACAACAACAACAACAACAAGAGTACTCACCAACGACTGCTATGTGCATGCTCCGCTCCATCCCCTGCCCCTCACGGTTGCGAGCGACACATGTGTACTGTCCGGAGTCTTCTCTCTGCACGTGACGAATGATCAGGGTCCCATTATCTAAGACACTCTGTCTGTGATTGATTGGCAGCTGGGCGGAGCCTAGTGATGACGATCCAACATATCCGGCATTAATTAGTCAGTTAAGTAAGGTAAAGTAAATTAAATTAGGTTAAAAAAAAGAGAAAAAACACAATTAGCGATGAGGCATGTGAGAGCTTGATCAATTGAAAATTGGAGGTAATCCTATCCCAGAACTCAGATACGCAAACGACACGGTTTACTTTTCCAATCATGTACAGGGCTTAGAAAAATTAATACTGGCTGTCAAAAAGCACAGCAAAGAAGTTAATCTTTTACTGAGTTTAAAGATTAAAAAAAACACACACACACACACACTTGCCTCAGTAAATACAGCACACCAACCACACATCACAAACGAAAATGACGAAACGGAAAATATCACAGATTTCGAATATTTGGGCGCTTTAGTGTGAACAAGAGGAGACTACTCGAAAGAAGTCAGACGAAGACTCCAGTGGGGCTGGAGAGCTGGCTAGAAAGAGGGATATCTGCTGTGAGGAGACCGACGTTCTGTAAAGGACATTATGACTGATGATGATGAAAATAAAATAAAGCAAAGAAAAGTAAAGAATTCTCTTTATGCCAGTGGCGTACTGGGCACATGTCGTTAAACTCAGATTTTATAGAACAACTGGAACTCGGCTGGATACAAACCAATCAGCTCCCTGTCAAAATCATACAGACGGCCTTTATTTCCCACGACATTGCCTGGCACCCATTTAAAGTCATGTCGATCTGCAAGCCATTGTCTTTTTTTTCCAGATCCGCTCAGTGTGAAATCGAACCTAAGATCTCTGGGGTGCCAGACAAGCGTCTAGTCACTTTGGTATCGCAGCTCCCTAATCAGCTGAGTGTCATCTGCCCAGAACAGATTGGCTCAATGGATCGCCCCCACGCTGTTCTCGTTTTTTTTTTTTTACATACTCTATGAAACTGCTCTTGATTTATTCCGCCACTTGCATCACTGCCTTTCGCTCGCCTAAATCTTGTCCTTTAGTTTTATGAGAGGGTTATATTTTTTAATTAGTCAAAATATTTCACTTGCCTCGCTCTCTGACTCTCACCCCCCCCCAGTATATTTCAGCAACTCCTTTCATTGGCAGTGTCTTCAGAGGCTGAGCGAAAAACGACAGATTCTTCCTTCAGAAACTCAGTTCGATGTTAAAACAGTTATTAATCAGTCAAACAATCATTTACCCAACTAACCCACCCAATCAACCAACTAACCAACCCACTCACCAACTATTCACCTGGTAATCTGGTAATCTGGTAATCCTTGCTTCAGCTTCATAGCAAACGGGTCACTCCATAGTTGCTCCGCTCTTGTGCCAACGAAAAACACACGTAGCTCACAGTGTCACGCCATGCACTCAACTCAGGAGCTGGGCGACGAAACTATATCCTTCCAGCCTACAAATGGAACTACTCACCTAACCAACCAACCCGCCAACTAATCAACAATCTAATAAATAACAAACCAGCCCCAGAAAACCAACCAACCTTCATGGCGCATGGGTGTAAGTGCTTCGTTCTACTTCTAACTCAAGTCTGAGTCTGACAAAGCTCATCACAGTGCATGAACTCCGTTGCACCGGATAAGATCCTGAAATATTTTGGGTAGATTTTTAACTCCAAATTTTGCCCGAGCAGCTCCGTTAGGCTACTCTTTTTGATTTTCAACTGCCAAGGTATTTTTGTTACGTGCGCAGCAATACACACGGGCGTCCGGTCTTACTACCCAGAGACCAAGGAAAATTACTACAAGTCCACGTTAAAAAATCACAGCCTTTACCGGGGTTTAAATGCAGTACCTCTAGCATTTTAGGCGGATGTCATACCTCGAGATCACTCAGCTTCGCCACGGACAAGAAAATAATTGCAATTAAACAAAAGCGTAAACTACAAACCTCTAGTCCAGTGGATGGAGTCCAGCGGGTATCCGGAGACATAACATCTGAGAGAGTGGTCCTTGCTGGCTGTAGCCGTCACATTGGGCATCGGTTTGATAAATGGGGTACCTGCAGTGAGGGATTGATTTCTTACATCATTCACTTGACTATGTCTGTACAATGCAACTTATAGGTTTACTGGCTGGCCAAACAAAGCGTGCTTTAATAACTCTTCAACAGCACAGTTCTCTTATTAACTTGTTATATATATATTTTTACAAAGAGGGACAGGGGCTGACCAGCACGAAGATGGACACAGGATATAAGCAGCAGCTTAGGTAGAAAAGTGCTTGAGGCGGAAGAGCTGGCGAGAGAGCTGGCGAGAAAGAGAGTGACCTTTTTTCAGGCAGACCGTGATGAGAGCGACGTTCTGTGAAAGATCTGTTAATGATGATGACAGGGATTAATTACACACCCCCCCTCCCCCACGCCGATATAAATGATCCTCATCCTTATGGAGGATCGAACCAAGATGTATCGCATGAGAACCCAGAACAGAAACCACTCGACCAACTGCTCCTTGGTACTGCACATTCAGTCTCAATGGCTCCCCCCCCCTCCCCCCAGGTGACAAATTTACATGCTATCGAGTCGTTCTCCTCATCTTCATCCTTCTCTTTCCCACTCCTCCCCCTTTTCCCGTCTCTTCTTCTTCCTCTTTCTCCCCCTCCTCTTCTCATCCTCACCCCCTCCTGCTTCTTCTTTTCATCCTGCCGATACACCTCTTTCTTGTTTCACTCCCTTCTTTTTCGTTTCTGTTGTCTTACATTTTGTGTTACATCCACACAAAGATTATCTACCCTACAACGCCTCCCGCTGTTTAGAGTCTGAGTTATCTCTCTTGCACCAGGTTCGTTACCCCAGTTAAAGGCTTCTCTGGCCGCTGTAGCATATCTCTGAAGTTATCGACCCATGGTCCTTAACCACACAAGACTGCAGGCAACACTTGGCTGGTGTAGCGGTTACACGTGCCCTAATTACAACTTCTTACGAGAGTGAACGGGGTACCTGAGATCTGTCTTGTCGGTCTGCCTTCAAAATTAGGATTTCATAATCTCATGATAGAATCGTAAACCTGCAGATAGCAGCCCGAGGCACAACAAAGTGGATCGACAATACTTCTCGTCATTTTTAGGATGAAATTTTTCGTTATTTGAAGCCCTACTCTGGCTTTTGCCAGGGGCCGCAATATAGCCTGGCCATAAATATGGCCTAAAGGCTGAACGCGGTTTCTGGGAACCTCTTCACGGTGATCCTCACCCACATGGTGGCACATTGTGTATTCGGATGTTTATCGCTTGTGTGATGTCCTGGTGGGGTAGAAAGTCAGTCAGTCAGTCAGTCAAGTGGATCGATCCATATGTATCTAGGCTTCCTCTCCTCTTCATTTTTTTAATAGTCATGATTTTTAATTCTATCTCTCCCAGTTCCACCAGAAGCTAACTTAATGAAGGGGCGGGAAGGAGGGGAAGTAGCTACCATGGTAAATCTTCTTCTTCTTCTTCTTCTTCTTCTTCTTCTTCTTCTTCTTCTTCTTCTTCTTCTTCTTCTTCTTCTTCTTCTTAAGAGTCCGTGCCGTGTGGCGTTGGTGATCAAGTCTATTCAAAGTCTTCTGTGTCGTGTACTTTCAATCAACTCTGACACAGATGGCACCAACTGATAGATTGTAGAAAACCAATTGGAATGTCATTTATCGCACATTATCAGAAAAGGCTGAAGAAGAAGAAGATTTGATCTAATGCGTATCCATTGACTGTAACGACTCTTGAATCAACGTTTGCAGTCTATTTACGTGTACAGCTAGCAATGATTTTTCTTTTTCAGGAATGTTCGCTGGAAAATCCTGACGAGTTATTAAAAATGTCCCTTCTCATTTTTCTGATCTATGTTTCGTGGGCACTGAATGTGATACTTTATAACAACCTTCCTGTCGTAAGCTCCGAATTTGACTTACCGTAAACGTTGAGTCTATTGACGTGTTTAGAATCCCCAACTTTACTGATGGCGAAACAGGTGTACTCCCCTCCTAGGGACACCTCCACCCGTGAGATGTTGATATAGCTCATAATATCTCCCTCTGATGTGATGAAACTGTTCCAGGCAATGGATGGATCCAGGGGGAGGTCTGCTCCATCAAGTGACCAAGTCACCTGTAATTTGATAAACAAAAGGCAAGTAATTCTAAGAAATGTATAGAAATATAATAATAATCATCGTGATCTATCGTTATCATCATCATCATCATCATCATCATCATCGTCATCGTCATCGCCATCGTCATCATCATCATCATAGTAGTCCTTTAACACTGCGCATCATTGGGTCACCATCTACTGTATCAGTCAGCGCCGTGCCTCCTGGCAGCATTTCAACCCTGGCGTGGACCAGTCCGCTCCAATGGCCATCTACCGTTAGCCTGCCTTCTTACGGATACAGTTACCAGTCTGCATCACAGGGAGTTGTGGCTGTCGTGTGTGATCGTCAGACACCAGGGAGAGCAAATTTCCCCAAAAACCCCTGAATAGAAATATTTTTAAAAAAAAAGGAAAAAACCCTTTTTGTTAATTGATGATCAAGACACTGGATCACATTGTACACTGAAACGATGATGACCAACAGACATGGGCCTACTTTAAACGATATTCACTGGTCTAGTTAGGATGGTTCGATCTAGGAGCCAAGTTCGTCAACAAAATAAAAATCCTGTAAATCCGGCAAAAAGGCAATACTCCTCAGAAACAAGGAAAGAACAAGGAACACTCTCACTGAATTAAGAGCAGCTAGAAATTATTTGCAGAAGGTAGCTAGGCAGTGTGCCAAAAATATGGATCAATTTTGTGAAAAAATTCAAAAATGCTAGCGGGTGGTAGTTTTGGGCATGTAGAGGGGACAAGAAGGGCCCTGGTCCTATATTAAAAAAATGCACCACTAAAGAATTTTAATGGGGAGTTATTAAGACAGGAAGAAGCAGTAGATAGATGGTGCAAATTACGGAGCTTTACAAAATTTTATACTAAACTAGCAATTGTGCTCTTAAAGCCAGGAACGTACCAACTCTTTCCATTGGACACATTTCCAAAGTTTTTAGAGGTGGGAAGA